TCGGATCCCGGGTGCGCATCGAGGCACCACTTCTCCGTTCATCCTGAGGCTGAGTCCCACATACAGCAACTAGAAGGATGTGCAGCTACGACATACAACTACCCACTGGGGCTTTGGGGGGAAAAAATAAAATAAATAAAATCTTTAAAAAAAAAAAAAAAAAACTAGAACAGCATAGTAGAGAGTGATTCAGAGCGTGAACTTTCAGACCTTGGTTTGAATCTTTGCTCTGAGGATTACTAGCTATATGATCTTTGGCAAATAACTTAGGATCTGAGTGTCTTACATGTAAACTTGGGATAAAAAATAGTACTTACTTCGTAGGATTATTGTGAAGATAAAATGAAATAATGTAAAGTGCTTTGCTCAGTGCCTAGCATACAGTAGGCATCTAGTCAAGTTAGCTATTATTAGTTCATTTCATATATCTAATTAGGGATGACTTTCCCTTTGTTGAGCAAGTGATCTATGACAAGGGAGGAATAGATGTTCTTCAGTTGTATTTGATAAAGACTGGAGAACTTCACTGTCATTCTGTTAGAAGGATGATCCTATAAGTGCCATTTTCTTGTCAAGCAGCTAATTACTCTCCATCTTTAGATCAAGAGAGAATGTTATTCTCTTTATCTTGTGTTTTCTTCCTTAATATAGTTCTTAAGTCCTTTTCGGTTTGTGTTTAACTTAGGCATCTGTAATCACATACAGATGGCTCCATAGAATTTACTGAAGAAGTCCTGTTTCTGGGCCTCTCTCTGGGCTCTAGAAAACTGGCCAATTCAGAAAACATGTAAAAGTTTTCACCCACCTTTCTAAATTTTTAATTCGAGACCAACTTTATGTTGATTGAATCTTCAGGTGGCTATTTCAGAGAGACTAATATTTACATTTAAATGACTCTCTTGCTAGTCTAGCAAGATGTACTAAGCTTGTACCTTACACTGAAGTACTTGTGATTAAATTTACATATTTTTCTTCATATGCAAATAAAACATTTAATTTTCAACTTGAATTTGATCCACCTAAACTCTGGTGGTTGTGAATTTTAGTTTTTCACTTCCATGTCACTGTGCTGCAATTCCATCTTTGATAGCATTTATAAAGCTTTGACTTTTTTTCAAAGATGATAAGAGATTTTTGTAATCAGTCACACTTTAATTCCTGGTCCCCTTGTGACCAACAGTATATGCCACTTTTGTGATAACTGGGGAGTCATAATCTGGGCCACAGAATAAAGAGGATTGATTGTACCATCCAGAGAGGGTCTGCCATGACTCTCTAGGAGCCTATACTGCACCTAGTAGGGCAGTCTCCCGGCCCAGGTGGATCTGCTGTGCATTTTGTTCTGTTAGAAAAGTCTATTGAGGGCCGGCCCTGTGGCTTAGTGGTTAAGTGCGCGCGCTCCGCTGCTGGCAGCCCGGGTTCGGATCCCAGGCATGCACCGACCCACCGCTTCTCCGGCCATGCTGAGGCCGTGTCCCACATACAGCAACTAGAAGGATGTGCAGCTATGACATACAACTATCTACTGGGGCTTTGGGGGAAAAAAAAAAAAAAAAAGATTATAAAAAAAAAAAAAGAAAAGTCTATTGAGATTTGTGTAAATGATTCAAATAGAAAGGCATCTTTTCCTTTATACCATATGTGAGTTTGACTCCTTGTTTTTCTTTTATAATCAGGAATTTTCCAGGTAGCTTTGAGTTAACCAAGGGCCCTTGTCCCCCACCCCAACCTTCCCCTTGTGAAAGCACTACATACGTTTTAAAGAACTTAGATATGTGTTAAAGCATAAGCAACAAATGTATCTAAGAGCAATATTACAGAACTCCAAAAACGAGGAAGTTAGTTCTTAAAGTAGTGTTTGTCAAAGAGAAACTACCTCTGTCTCACAAAAGGAATGACTGAAATATGCTTGGCTAAGTATGTCCACAAACATACTTCTATTGTAGATGTAGAGACCACTTTGTTTACTGGGAACCAGAGTGGCCACAGCTGTAACTTTGGCTGGGGACAGGTAGAATATTTAGCCGTAATTTATTTTAAAAATATTTTCATCTAGTAAAGCAGACAGTTGCTGTGTTGACAGAAGTGTGAATTTCATTTCCTGTCTGTGGTGTACCCCACTCATCCTGTCACTCAGACATTTTGTCTTAGGTTGTTCCCGTAATGTAAGTGAAACAGAGTGACCCACAGCAGGGTACCATGTGCACACCACGAATGTAACAAGAGACAAGACTTATGCAACAGACCACAGGAGTGCAATGCTTTATTTAAAGGTGAAAACAAAACAAAATAAAGGCAGCCCCTCCCAGCCAACATGCAAATGTTTAAAGTGGCTTCTGTGGTTTCTTATGTTTGTCTTTAGTAGACATGTTCCAATCTATTTGGCAAGTTACTGCAAAGGTTTACCAGCTTCATGCCACTTGATTAAAGCAGAAAAATGAGTCAAAGACTGACAACATTATAGAGGTGTTTTAATTTCATTTGCCAATTAATTTATCGTCATTTATTTGTATTTTACTGTCCACTAATATGCCACATATATTGAGTTCTGTAACAATTATTTTTTGCATGTGAGATTACAGAATTTCTATTTTCAATTTCTATTTTACAGTTCCTGCTGCAGTGATAGGACAGATATAACAGTGTGGGAAAAAACTCTGGGATGAATCCATTCATCCATCAGATATCTGTTGAGCACCTAATACGTGCTTGGCACTATTTTCAGTGTTGAGGATACAGTGCTGAGCAAAATAAAATCCTTGCTCTTCATGGAGCTTATAGTCTGTTATAGGGAGACAACCACAATCAGATATACAAGTGAATAAATATAATTTTAGTGTATGATAAATATACAGAAGGAAACTAAACAGAACAACAGGATAGAGTATGATTGGGATGGGGGCAGAGGTGATGATACTGGAGCTGTGACTTAAATAGTGACAGACCAGGAGGAAAATGTCCCAGGTATCCCAAGTAGAAAACAAAAAGCACAAAGAAGGGGCCTGAAATAAAGAAGAAAGAAAAAGAAGGCCAGTGCAACTAGATCATAGTGAACAAAAAAGGGGAGATGGTACAAGATCGGAGAAGTAACTTATTATCAGATGTTACAGGGCCTTGAAATCCAAGCTAAAGACTTCAGCTTTTGTTTATAAGTACAAAGGGAAGCCATTGGGGGGTTTAAGCAGAGAAGTGACTTTTATGACATATATATCTGTAGATTTATATAGATTTATATGTGTGTAGATATATATATCTATATACTTTAAATCACTCTTGTTGCTTTTTGGTAAGTGGATAGTAGCGGTGCAGAAGTGGTTGCAGACAGACCAGTTAAGAGGCTTTTTGCTGATATAATGTCTAGGATTAGTTTTACTTCAGGGACAAGGAGAAGAGAGTAAGGGTATAGAAGGAACAAGAATGGCCATGAATTAAGGCTGAAATGTATGAGAACATGGGGGTTTGTTGTATTATCGCCTCTACTTTTGTATGTTTGAAATTTTCGGGCCGGCCCCGTGGCTTGGTGGTTAAGTGAGCGCGCTCCACTGCTGGCGACCCGAGTTCGGATCCCGGGCTCCCACCGGCGCGCTGCTTCTCCGGCCATGCTGAGGCAGCGTCCCACATACAGCAACTAGAAGGATGTGCAGCTATGACACACAACTATCTACTGGGGCTTTGGGGGGAAAAAATAAATAAATAAAATCTTTAAAAAAAAAAAAAAAGAAATTTTCTATAATGAAGAGCTTTAAAAAAAACCTTTTTAACAGTGGTCTAAGTGAAAAATGATGGTGCCGTGGACCACTGTAATGAAGATAAGTGGGCAGAGTCAAGATATATTTGAAAGTAAAGCTTATAGGTCTTGCTGATGGGGTGGATATATATTGTTAGAGAGAAACAGAGAAACCAAGGATGACTGTTATATATTTGGCCCAAACAACTGGGGTGGATGAGGCTAGGGATTAGGTTTGCAGGGGACTTGAGATTAGTTTTGGCAATCTGAATTTGAGGTACCAATTAGATTTCCAAGTGGAAATGTTGAGCAGGCAGTGTAATTTACCATACACTAGCTAACCCTGAATAGCATACTTACAGGCAAACTTAGAACCCTCCATCGTGTGTTTCTAAACTTTGCCATTAGTGATTTAAAAGTTCTATCCTTTTCAGATTCTCTGGGTAACATTGAAAGGCTTAGTCTGTCGATGTGAAATAATTTAGATATATTTTCTGTTTTCTATGGATATCTACTAGTAATTGTATTTTGAATAGCCTCTATCCTGAGCAGTAATTTTCCATGTCTGTTGAGCTATCATTCACATGAAGGGCAAACTCCATGGGTTAAACACACTTTCTGTGCACTACGCCTTTTCAATGCATGTGGGAATGCAAATTGGTGAGAGTAAAATTTTGAGTAACACTTTAGCGTAGAGTGTGTTTATTTTAAACATAAATCTTTTTTTTGCAAACTTGGGATCTATTAGTAACTAAGTATTGTAACATTTCACCTCTGATTAGGACACCATTGAAACAACGTTATTGATAACCATAGATCTAATAGTATTAACTAATATTTATTAAGGAAACCACTCTAAGAAGCTGTATTCTTATTGACTCCTCACAACAACCTCATTTATTATCCCTGTTTTGCAGATGAGGAAATTTAGGCCCCCAAAAATTCACTCAAGTGAGAAATAGCAGAGCCAGATTCAAACCCAGGCAGTCTGGTTCCAGAGCCTTACCCTTTTTGTTTGTTTGTTTCCAGAGCCTTCACTCTTAACTGCTACCATGTAATGTATATAGAATACTGTAAGTTCTGTATCAGAATAATTGTCAAGAGTAGACAGGACTGTGTGAGTAACCAGTCGCTTTTGATTTTATTTTTACTTCATCCCATGAAGTTGGGACTTTGGAAGAGAGAAGAGAGAATAATCCCCAAATGGGTCTCCATCTTACTCTATGATTTCCTTCCTTAAATAATTTATTTCCTTTTGACTTTTTCCTTGTAGCATCAGCGAGAGCTTTCTAACTGTCAAAGGTGCTGCCCTTTTTCTACCACGAGGAAATGGCTCGTCCACACCAAGAATCAGCCACAGACGCAACAAACATGCAGGTAAAGCTCCACATACACCATTCCTTTCTTGGTTTCTTTGCCTTTTGTTTTGTTCTGACAGGCTAACTATTTCATCTCCATTTCTCCAACAGTTCTTAATAGTGAAAGAAAGCATTGTACTATGCCATAATCACTTTTCTTTCACTCTAACAGACCATTTTTCTCGCACTTAGCAGAATGCCTTATACACATAGTAGATGTTCAATAAGTTTTTGTTGGAAAAATAATACGGTACAAAAATACTCTAATGAAGTCTTGTGTGACTTCTCAATTAAGGTTTTGGTAGCTAAAAAAATGTTTAGCTGTTCCCTTAGATCTTATGCAAAATCATTTCAACTAACCAAAGATTGCATTTCTTTTTTCTGTCTACTCTCTAGTGACTTTGTGAGGAGAATGATATTGTATATTACAAAGAAAATAAAGTAAACTCAGTGTCACTGTTGTGGTAACAAGACTTGTGATAACACATAGTGGAATACCAGTTCTTAAATGTCAGTCTGCTTCTTGATTGTGTTCGTACTAAAAAGACTGGAAATTTAACTCAGAGGACTTTTATAGAAACAAGGAGTCATCAAATAAATGTTCACCTAGGAATGAGTATAAGACTCTGATTTTGAAATAACCTGCCAATATTCTGCACCCATTTCCAATGTGAATTTTTCCCCACACGTACAAGCAATTCTCAGACACCAGCTGGGTGTCCTACAATTCACCTCAATTCTGACACTATCTACCTAGAGATAGCGTCAGATCCCACAGGTTAAGGACTCAGTCGTACAAGACTGCTCCTGCCCCCATGTCAGATGCCGGTCACAAGTTCAGGTTGTCTATAGATTGGAGGTTCCAATGACCCCCTTCTTGGGTTTGATAATTTGCTAGAGCAGCTCACAGAACTCAGAGAAATATTTTATTTACTAGATTACTGGCTTATTTTAAAGGATACAACTCAGGAACAGCCAGATGGAAGAGTTGCTTAGGGCAAGGTATGTGGGAAGGGGTGCCGTGCTTCTATGCCCTCTTGAAATGTGCCACTCTCCCCAAGCCTCCATGTCTTCACCAACCCAGAATCTCTCCAAACCCAGTCCTTTTGGCTTTTTATGGAGGCTTCATTACATAGGCATGATTGACTAAATTATTGGCCATTGGTGATCAATTCAGCCCCTTTCCCCTCCCCGGAGGTCAGGTTGGGGTGGAACTGAAAATTCCAGCCCCCTAATCACATGGTTGGTTCCCCCTGGCAACCAGCCCCCATCCTTAGGTGCTTTCTAAATGTCATGTCATTAACATAACAAGAGACATCTTTACTGCTCTTGTCACTTAAGAAATTCCAAGGGTTTTGGGAGTTCTGTGCCAGGAACAGGATGAAGACCAAATATATATTTCTTATTATGAATCACAATATCACACCCACTATCAGTTATATATGCATTTATATTTCCATATGTTGGATTTCTATAAAGTCAGGTGTACCTGTGGTGATGAGGTTGAGAAAGAATCATAGAAAGTGTGTCTAGGGAAAGAGGTCTCTAGGTATGGATATCCACAGTTTAGGAAGATAATCAGCCTTATGACTCTTTTCTAACAGCGAGCTTTATTTGTATCATTTTGGGGAAAAATAAAAGTCAACATGAGGCCAATAACTGGAGAAATCCTGATCAATGCTGTACAAAGAACGGTTGCTTGTTGTCATAATTGTGCCATTTTGATGATGTGTTACCTCCAGGAGTGGAAGAAATTGGAATTACTAGGAAGAGAACAAAGAAGACTGCAAATCTTGAGTGTGTAGGCCAGAGGTGAAAGCCAGAATACTGGATCCCATTGAGCCAGCAGTTGAGTTTAGCTCCAGTCCAGATAATCTCAGCTATTTTAGTGGCTGCCCTACTTCTTGTTTGGGCCTTCATTTAGTTGCAAACATAGCAGCTCAGAATTATAATCCATCTCATTGGACAGTATTATCCTCCTACCAAAACTCTCCAGCCATGGAAAATTCTTGGAGAGAAAAAAAACTCTTTTGAATATTAGCTTTGGGTTACACTTTCTAAAACCTTCCTCTTCAATGCCCAGCACCGGAGAGGAAGGGGACACTTAACCCCAAAATTTGAATGCACAGTTGAAGTAGACCTGCTAAGCTTTGTATTTCTCTTTTGTGTGAATATTTATCACTTACAGTAAAAAGAAGACACAGTATGGGTTTAAATCCAGCTTGTCTGACTTAGATGTTAGGCAGATTGCTCTGTGGCATGTAAGTATGTGGGGTCAGTGGCTTTTAAAGTTCCTGACCCTGGTTGGCCTTTTCCTTTGGTCAAACCTCCACACTCAGCTGCCACCCAGGTTTCTACTTGACCTTGTCCACTTAGCTTCCCCTATATTGAAAAGAAAAGCAGATTTAACACAAACTGAATGAGCTTGATTTGTGATCCAGACCAGAACAGATGAGGCAGTGTGAATATAAAAGCAGCTCACAAAGCCAGACCTTCACATAAGCTGAAGCTGCCTTGGCTGAACTTGCAGTAACTGCAAGATGATGGCAGAATTGAGAGCAGATCAAGGGCTTACTATGTTTCATTGCACTTTCTTCTGAATGTTTCTTGAACTAGTTAGAATTTTTTTATCTGGGCTTCGGTTAAAATATCTAAATACGTTTTTGTAATCAAAAAGTGACAATTTGAGTGAATGTCTGCTAACATTTTAAATGGAAAGAGCAAAAAGTCTTTAAAATCAAACTGAAGTCTGAAACTTAGCTACTAGCAATGAAATAGGTGGATATATGTAGGGGAGGGATCTTAATGGTACCAATATATTCCCTCTACTAGTCTCTGTGAAGAACAGTTTCCCAGTAGAAAATGCCCAGTTTGTTCATGGCAGTACTTTTCACTGCTAACAAACCTGAATGTCCACATACCCAGTTAGCATGAGAAGCCTTACTGGAGGGGTGTCGCTCCGGACTTTTCTCTGACCTTCAAATAAGCCAGCTGTAACTTTAGGCCTGTAGTATTTGGAGTGGAGACTTAGGGCTCCTATTTGTCCAGAAATGGTTCTCCTCCAAAAGTTCTCCATCCTGAAAATCCCTTTCCTCAGGTTATTTGTCCTGATACAACAGAAGGAAACTTAAATTTTAAAAAGCCTCAGCTGCTTTATTCAATTGTAACTTGTAACTCTAGTCACTCTTCATTGTTTATGCCTAACCCTTTGTCTCCCCACACTGGTTCTTTTTTTTTTTAACAGCTTTATTGAGATATAATTCACATATCATATAATTCACCCAATTTACCCATTTAAAATATACATTCAGTGATTTTTTTAGTATATTCACAGAATTGTGAAACCATCATTACAATTTAGTTTTAGAACATTTTCATCCCCCCAAAAAGAAATCTAGTACCCATTAGCAGGCACTCCCTATATCCCCCACCCGCCCTCCCAGCCCTAAACAACTACTAATTACTCTCTATCTCTGTAGATTTGCCTCTTCTGGGTGTTCCATATAAATGGAATCATGTAAACAATCTTTTGAAATAGGCTGCTTCCACTTAGCATAATGTTTTCAAGGGTCATTCATGTTATAGTATGTAGCAGTACTTCATTCCTTTTTATGACGGAATAATATTCTAGTGTATGAATATACCACATTTTATTTATCCATTCATCAACTGATAGACATTTGAGTTGTTTCCATTTTTTGGCTATTACGAATAATGCTGCCATGAACATTTGTGTACAAGTTTTTGTGTGGACGTATGTTTTCATTTCTCTTGGTTTTATACCTGTGAGCCCATACTGCTTCTTGCACATGAGACTTAGATTGTGTCTCTGGGTTTGAAATGGATTTGAAATGTTTGGACCTGGCCAAACATAATGACTTTCCTTTTTAATTTGGAAGTTGAAAGATTCTGCGATAATGGAATTGGTCAGAAGGCAGCAGTGAAATGGGAAAAAAAGGCAAGAAAACTATTCTTGAAGACAAGGAAAGAAAAAAAAAAAAAAAAGGAAAGGCTTTCAGACTTGCTGACCCTTTAGACAAACACACCTGTTTGCCAACCTACTTTTTTTTCTTCCTGCCTCTCTCTACTTCTTGCACATATCAGTGTTTCGTCTCATAATTAACAGCTATGAAGTTACCTGGAGGGAAATTATGTATTTAGATTCCAAGACCAATGTGAGAACAGGTTATACTGGCATCCATGATTATGTGGCTATGTCAGTCACTTTAGACTCTTAAAAAAGGGCTGGACCTGGATGGGCAGGAATGAAGTCTTTTTGTTCTCTGATTGTCATCATTTATGATAACATATTATCTAATTATCTCCTATTAGCCAAAGCCTCAGATATCCTAATATAGAATAGGGACTGTGAGGAAATCTGTAATAGTTTAATACAAAGAAATGTCAACTTAATTTTAATCGAATGTATAAGAACAAGTGAGGATTCAAATAATGGTTGGCCTTTTTTAGCACCTAATAATATGCTCAGTAGAATATATATCCCTTGGGATCCACTATATTTAATAAGGATTCTCCTTTTAATATCAGCCACTAATGTGGAAATGATTTTATTTTTTTATAATTTTTATTTATTTATTTTTCCCCCCCAAAGCCCCAGTAGATAGTTGTATGTCATAGCTGCACATCCTTCTAGTTGCTGTATGCGGCACGCGGCCTCAGCATGGTCGGAGAAGCGGCGCGGCGGTGCGCGCCCAGGATCTGAACCCCCAGCCGCCAGCAGCGGAGCACGCGCACTTAACCGCTAAGCCATGGGGCCGGCCCTGGAAATGGTTTTAAACTGTTGACAGTATTCTAGAGAGAATCTAAAAATCTTCTTAGGTTAAGTGCAAGTGAAGATTACAATTGCAAAAATAGGAATGGCAGGATTCCCTCATTGCTACCTTCAGTGGGCCTGATAGCACAGCCAGCGCTACCTCTGCCCAACAGATTTCACCATTGCTCTCATCAACATCCGCCATAGTACAAAGCTGAGATTGGTTTCGAATGCATCTTCCATAGGACAAACACAAAGCAAATTTTAATGTAGTATAAACTAAAAGTGAATGTATGGAGATGCAATCTGCCATTCTGTCTCTCCGTTTAAAAAAATTCAATAGGGCCGGCCCCGTGGCTTAGCGGTTAAGTGCGCACGCTCCGCTACTGGCGGCCCGGGTTCGGATCCCGGGTGCACACCAACGCACTGCTTCTCCGACCATGCTGAGGCTGCGTCCCACATACAACAACTAGAAGGATGTGCAGCTATGACATACAACTATCTACTGGGGCTTTGGGGGAAAAATAAATAAATAAAATTATAAAAAAAAAAACAACTCAATATAATCATGTTAAGACACTCAATTTCTGTGTCTAATTAGAGTCCTTCAGTGAACCAGTTCTTGCTTTTATGCAAATCATTAAAGTAGAAGGAATCCTCTTTGTTGACATTACAATGGAGAATAATTATCCTTTGTTTCATAAATTTTACCAGGTGATCTCCAACAGCATCTCCAAGCAATGTTCATATTACTCCGCCCAGAAGACAACATTAGGCTGGTAAGTTAGTGGTATCATTATAACTCTCATCCTCAAAAGACTAACTAAGATAGCAAACATTAAACAGTCATTTTTATATCCCAACACAGTACTGGGAACTATGTGGAATAGAAAAGAAGAATAACATGTCCTCATCATCAAAGAACTTAGAATGTAAATGGGGATATGAGCTAATGTGAAGCAGTGTGAAATAATGTGATGGTTCAAGACTGCTGGTAAGCGCCAGTTTTTAAGTTATTGACCATAATAGCAATTGAAGCCCAGAAAAAAAAGAGGAAACCTAGGAACTTGACCTAGTTGAGGAACATTTTATGTAGACAGTAGAGCTTGAGCTGGGTCTTGAATGATTATGAGATTTAGATTGGCAGAAAGAAGAAAGACAGTCATTCTAGATGAAGATATGGCTGAAGCAAAAGAACACATAACCAGGAGAGAAAGAGTGAAATGGTCAAGGATTTGTGCTGGTCTCAGTCAGGAGACCTAACTGGGCTTAGGTTTTTACTAATCATATGATATTGGAAAAGTTATTTAGCCTGTCTGTGCCTGCTTCCTCATCTCCTTTCTACCTCGCACAGTTGAGAGGATCAAATGAACATGAAAGCATATTGAAGAGTGTAAAATGCTGCCTAAATATGAGGATTATTGTTACTGTAGGGAAGATAAGATACCAGAAAGCAAGGCAGGGAAATAGGGACTTAATGCTCCAAACTAGAGGTCTCAAACTGGCGGCCCATGGGCCAGAGATATGTTTTGTTTGGACCACACGGTATTTTGCTTTTTTAAAAAATCTGAGCCAGAATTTTAAAGTTGGGTGATTTCACATAAAAATCCAGACTCGGGGCTTGTCTCCAAAAATATAAAATTCTAGCAACACTGGGACCTTATTCTCACATGGCAAAACTTGGCTAGACTTGGAGGGGGGCGGGCATTGGTATGGCATTGGTTCTTAATTGACTGTAATCCCCACATATCCTATTGTCTCCTGGACACTAAAGCCAGTGTCACCATTTGTCATCATTCCTTCAGTGTTAGTTTTCTTATAGTAGAGCATCTAATAAAAGTAGGAAAACAAAAATGGGATGAGTATGTTTCTTTGTGGAAGCTAATACAGAATAGAGGGGAGGAGGCAGCCATCTTAAATCAGGGAGGCTTGCTGGGTGCTGGGTAGTTATTGCAATAATCCAAGCGTGTGGTGATAAACTCTTCTAGGTTAGGGTGGTAACTTGGAAATTGGGTTTCCACAGACACTTTAAGTTTAAATGGTTGATCTCTACTTTTTGTCTGGGAAGAGAGATAATGAATAGAATATAAGAATGGCTGTGGAAACTATAAGAATGGCTGTGGAAAGTTGATGATTAGGCCTCTCTGAACTCTATGGTAATGACTGATTCTTCATTCACTTAATCATTCTGTGTTTAAATTCTGTCATTTTTTCCCTCGAATGCTGCCTCTATCACCTTCTTGACATGACCACTAATTTTTGTTGAGAAACTTACTTTGAAATTTAAAGGAATTGAAATAAGAAATCCTTACATAATTGTTTTATATCCTAATCCAAAAGTAACATTATACACTTACATAAATCTTGTCTAAATATTTTGATATACTTCTGTCTTAAACACTACTTTATAAGTGCACAAAGTGGGGTACAGTTGTTACAGTATTAATATTCTAAAGCAGTGATACTCAAACCTTAAGAGTACATCAGAATCACCTGCAGAGCTTTGTTAAACTGCCATTTGCTGGACTCCACCTACAGAGTTTGATTTGGGGACAGGGAGGCAGTGATAATTTGCATTTTTAACAAGTTTCCAAGTGACGCTGATATTGCTGGTCCAGGAGTCACACTTTGAGAACAACTCTTTTAAAACCTGTAATAACAGTCACTTGTGCATACTAGATGTCCAATAGATATTTGTTGATAGTTTCCAAAAGTTGTGTGGTTTGGTAGAGTTAAAGCTGAGGTCTAGCATCACTCACTTTATCTTTTTCTCATTGATAACCTTCTGGAGTTTGGATTGCACTTCTAAATGTTGAAATAATTTATTTTGTATTTTTTTTATTATGATTTTTTTTTTGTGAGGAAGACTGGCTCTGAGCTAACATCTATTGCCAATCCTCCTCCTTTTTTCCCCCCAAAGCCCCAGTAGATAGTTGTATGTCATAGTTGCACATCCTTCTAGTTGCTGTATGTGGGACGCGGCCTCAGCATGGCCGAAGAAGCAGTGCGTCGGTGCGCACCCAGGATCCGAACTCCGACTGCCAGTAGCAGAGCGTGCGCACTTAACCGCCAAGCCACAGGGCCGGCCCGAAATAATTTTAACCACAGGAGACTTGGGAGAGCATTAAAGAAGCAGTTAGCAAGGCAGAGTTGGCAATTAAATTTTGTCTTTCCCTGCTAAAATATGCAGTTTCAGCTGCTTTACATTTATAAAATATAAATTCAGAAAATGTAACTGACGCCTCTGAATTAATTCAGAGTTCAAATGACAAGCCATTTTACAGTTGTTTTGAATAGTTACAAACACATAGTCATTATGTTTCAGATTATTGAGTGAGTCATCTTCAAGAAAATGAGTGAATACATTGTGTGACTTTGGACAAATTAGCACTTTTCTAACTGAAAGGAGCATTTGTAGACTCAAAGCAAAGCCTTTTGTTTTGAGTTAAATTTGGAATGCTAAAACTCTCATCCTGGGGCTTGTGCATAAGGTTAAAAGTTTGATAGTCATCTGAAAGTCTTGCCTTTATTTTTTCAGTAACTCAACAACAAATAAAGGCACCAAATCCCACATTTTGCTTTAGCATTGAAAATAGGACTAAACCAATTTTTCCTCCAGGGAAGCTCTACATTCCAAATACAGTGTCAAGCATTAACTTTAGTACTTTGGAAAAACATAGCTGATAAAATGAAGACAGTGATTTTTATAGTACTCTTGCACATTATCAGAGACCAATTTAATAAAAAATAGACTGGAAAATTAAGAACTTTCCTGACATTTGAAGTAATTTCATCTGATGTACTTAACTAGAGCTGAGGAGCTGATGAGGTACAAAGAGGTGTTTTTGAGTACTTCTCAGGAGAGTTTAAGAAAATAAGTTGTTTTCTGTTTTTTATAGCTCATTGATTTTTTTTCCCAAAAAAAATGGGTTTATTTTTTCTAAATATAAATAAGGTTTTTTTAAATCAGACAATACAGAAAGATATAAAGAAGAAAGTAAAAATCATTTTGTAGCCTATATTCTGAGAAAACCATTCTTCGCAATTTGGATAAGTATGCTTCCAGTCGTGTGTGTGTGTGTGTTATATGTGTGTGTGTATAAGAATATGTAGCAGATTCTCTGAGATCTACTCTTATTGAAGTAGATCAATGATGAAAATAGCCGAATCTTGAAATATAATGATGTACACTTGAAATTTATACAGTTATGAATCAATGTTACCTTAATAAAAAATTGAAAATTAAAAAAATTAAAATATATACTTTCTCATAGAAAAATAAAATCAAATAATCAGTTATACTAAATAAATTGTAAATGTGGCTTAAGTTATTTAAGAAAATTTTATTAATAATATGTATCCATCTATGTCTAAAACTTGCTTAAAGTTTATTAAATATGCATGTAGTAAATTGAGCATTTAATTTAAAAAAAGAAAATAGCTAAATCTGAGTATCAGAAGACCTTTCAGTCTTCCTGATGCGTGATCTCTGTAGTTCTGAAAAGCAAAAGTATAAAGTAATGTAAAACAATGAGGGCCTTGGGGGGAGGTTATATGCGTGTCTTCATAAAGGTGACAGTAGATAACTGAGGACTTGCTGATGGGTGAATGAGATGGAGGGGATGTGTGTATATGAAAGCCTAATCAGTTCAGAGCAATGATCGAAAGATTTTACTACTGACCTTTATATCTATGAAGGTTTCTACACTTGATCTGAGCTCAGAATTGAAAGGAAAAAACAAGAGTATGCCAGAAAGAGCACTTTTTCCCCAAAACTGAGATAAAAATATAAATGCTGCTTTATAACGTGCTTTCTTCACACTTTATCATGGATATCTTTCCATGTCAGTAAATAAATCTATTTTTAATGGCTACACAGAATATACTTCATAGATTTTTTTAATTTAAGAATTTGATAGAGGGCCAGCCCCGTGGCTTGGCGGTTAAGTGCGTGCGCTCCGCTACTGGCAGCCCGGGTTCGGATCCCGGGTGCGCACCGACGCACCGCTTCTCCAGCCATGCTGGGGCCACGTCCCACATGCAGCAACTAGAAGGGTGTGCAGCTATGACATACAGCTATCTACTGGGGCTTTGGGGGAAAAATAAATAAATAAAATTATAAAAAAAAAGAATTTCATAGAAATAGATTTTAAAAAATACAATCCAGAGACTCTCTCAAGCTCTATTTCTTTTGAAGACAGTGTTCTAGTGTCACATCTGAAGTCTATTTTAATTTTAGATATTGACTGTGCTTTGTTCTTTTGGCTAGAATTTAATATTTACATACTTTTGAAACCTTTCTTTCTGATGTATTGGGTGAGCTGCCTGTCTAGACATTGAGACTTTATAATGTGGCTTCGCTGAGAATAAACATTGCATGCAGGGGCATGATGTAAGACTCTTGGTGAAAAGGAATTAAAGGCAAAGGTGCAGTGTAAGTTTAAGGAGGAGTATTTCCTGATGTTGCATGATGCTGAGGAGAGAAGTTGTTGTATCAGATGGTGTTTGTGAGTTGCTTGTAATCAGATTAAGCATTTAAATTAGTTACTGAGGGAGGTTTTCACATCATTCTTTGATAGATGAGCTTTGAAAACAGGTTGGGTTCTTATCTCTCAGAAGTAAAGCAGAGGCAGGAGATGGCTTCTGAGACCTACCTCAGTCTTAGGATTGCTGGATCCAGTTCACTTGAAACTTGTAATAGGATTCCAAATGTAGGCAATAAATGGACTTTCTTGGAATCATTTTCTCAGTTGCAATTGCTGCTGAGTTTTAAGATCCAAAATATTGTTTTGTTTGGACAATTAGAATAAACTTCAGTAGTATCCTTTTCAATGACAACTTTAGTTAGTTAATCACATGCATCTAAATCATTGTCTTATTTCAGTTATCCATTCCATGTAAGTTCTGGAGACTGAGGAAACATTGGAATTGCTACCAATTCTAATATTAGGATATTATGTACAAACTGCCATTTTAAATTAGATTTCTCTGACTGGCTTGATGAATTAAATTAATTATTAGATTTTGTGAATTTTCCCCCCAACAGAGGAATATGCAGTGAACCTCAAACCAGGGTGGGCGTTAGGTTTTTCTTTATGCTGTGGCTCTTCAAATTTTGTTTAGGGGCCGGCCCGGTGGCGCAGTGGTTAAGTGCATGCACTCTGCTTCAGCGGCCCGGGGTTTGCAGGTTCAGATCCAGGGTGCGGACATACGCACCGCTTATCAAGCCATGCTGTGGCAGGCGTCCTACATGTAAAGTAAAGGAAGATGGGCACAGATGTTAGCCCAGGGCCAGTCTACCCCAGCAAAAAGAGAATTGGCAACAGATGTTAGCTCAGGGCTAATCTTCCTCACCAAAATAAATAAATAAATAAATAAAAATTTATATATCTCATCCTTTTAATTAATAAGTGTTGAATTAATGTCATGGCTCCTGACCCCCTGATTAAAGCTCCACTTCCCTTTAGTAAGAATTTAATAATTACTGTAGGTACTATCTAGAAGTCCGTGATCAAATCCCAAGACCTCTAAATGCTGTTCTTCCATCTAAGAAGCTTAAATTGAATGAATCTGCGATGCGCATGTTACTCAAGCCTAAGTCAGTGTGAGATGACTGGGGCCTTTCCCATGAGGTTTGGGATCTTCTATATGATTAGGTTAAGCAAGGGAGGGCCAAACATTTGAAATGCTCTTGATTTTATAAATAAATAAACAAACACCTCATGTTTTAAAAAGAGACAACTCATGTTTGCTCTGAATATCACAAAGAAACTCTCACTGCCCACCTGCTAATTTGGCCTGATAACTTGTATGATAGGTAATATTTATGGAGGTTATTTTTTTTCCTTTTATCAGCTTCATCTTTGCCAGTCACTTGCCACTGGTTGGTGTAGAAGTTGTGGATAAATTATCAGAAGCACAGTTCGGTTGTTCCCATGCCATTTGTTTTTGAGGCTTGCCAGAAATTCTCAGAGCCTTGACAGAGGATAAAAGAGCTTCTAATGTATTCAGGAAACTGAACAGTTAGCTCAGAGCTTGCCAAGGCAAGCCCAAGTTTAGATATGTAATAACATCTGAGATCTTGTTTATAAGAAATTCTAGTTTACCTACACCAGGTTTCTGGTTAGTTTAATATTTTGTGGAGTGTTTCTAGAATCAGAGAGTCAGTGCTGCCTCCCAGTCCTCCTCATGTGCATCTACTACTATCCATAGCTCTAGGTATATAATGCTCACTTAGTCCCAGACCACTAGGACTAAACCGTCATCCATTAAATATTAGTTCCTCTTAGCTTCTTACAAGTGAATTTGATTTGAAATGCTCTATTACTTCATGGAACATAAAGTCACAGTACAGCTCTCTACATCGTGTACTTGGAATCAGATTAGCGGGCATTACGTTTTTGTTGTATCAACTCTTATTAGAAACAAGCTTTAATGTGGCCACTTATGCTGTTCATGCTTCCCAGCTTTTCTTAGGAGTATCAGAATAGAGACAAAAAGATAGCCATGGGCGTCTCACCTCTGCGTTGCTAAATGGGTCATTTGAGCTGTGTAACTGTCTCTTTTTCTCTTTACCTGGTCACTTTTGGAGTAGTGACAGAGTTAAGGGGAAGGAGACTTCAAGAAAAGGAGCACTGAAAGAATTGCAAATAGAAATTTCTGTCAAATTTCTGACACGTCTTGAGCCAGAACTGTTTCTCTTCTGAGATAGAGGATAGGGAGTATTTTATACAGGGGAAATTGCCTCCAGTGCACATTTTCCTGGCTTTTTATTAACAGATAAAAAGAAGAGTAGATTAGACTTGACACTTGGTGAGGGCAGGGACCATATCTCCGTCTTCCACCATTGAATCCTCAGCACTTGAGCTCTGATTGTATGCATGCTAGATGTATAGTAAATATTTGAATGAATGTTGACTGGAAGCCATTTTATTTTATTTTATTTTTAAAGTTTAGAAAGTATCTTTTTGAACTTCTTATAAAGAAAATTCCCAAACATATAAAGTACAAAATATATCCTAATTAGCCCATTATCCAATTTTAATAACCATCAACATTTCGCCAGATTTCTTTCATGTATCCCCCCTTTTTTTCTTTCTTTGTTGGAACATTTTTTTAAATCACTGTATTGAGGTATAGTTGACATACAAAAAGTTATGCATATTTAATATATACAACTTGATGAGTTTGGAGATAAGTATATACCCATGAAACCATCACCACAATCTATGGCATAAACATATCCATCGCCTCCAAAAGTTTCCTCTAATTCTATTTATTATTATTATTAATATTATTATTATTATTATCATAGGAACACTTAACATAAGATCTACCCTCTTAGCAAATTTTTTTAATAGACTTTATTTTTTAGAGCAATTTTAGGTTCACAGCAAGACTGAACAGAAGATAGAGATCTCCCATATACCCTCTATCCCTGCTCATGCATAGCCTCCCCAACTATCATCATCCTCCCCCAGAGTTATACATTTGTTACAATTGATGCACCTACATTGTTTACTTTACGGTTCACTCTTGATGTTATATATTCTATGAGTTTTGACAAATGTATAATGATATCTATCATTCTGGTATCACACAGAGTTGTTTCACTGCCCTAAAAATCCTTTGTGCCTCCCCTAACTCTTGGCAACTACTGATCCTTTTATTGACTCTATAGTTTTGTCTTTTCTAGAATGTCATATAGTTGGAATCACAGTATCTAGCCTCTTCAGATCGGCTTCTTTCACTCCGTAATTTGCATTTAAGATTCCTCCATGTCTTTTCATGGCTTGATAGCTTATTTCTTTTTAGTGCTGAATAATATTCCGTTGGCTGGATGTACCATAGTTTATCCATGTACCTACTGTAGGACATCTTGGTTGCTTCCCATTGTTGGAATATTTTAAAGTAAAACGTGGACGCCATGTCATTTTACTCTAGATACTTAAGAAAAAGGCATAACCACAATGCCATTATCACACTAACAGTAAATCTTTAATATCATCTAAGACCCTGTCCATGTTCAAATTTTCCAAAGGCCCTTTAAAAATATCAGAAATAAGCAATAAATAAAAACTTTTTGACAAAAAATAATGTAAGCTTCGGAAAAAGCAATTTCTTTAATTATCATTGAAATTAAAGAAGAAAATCTTGCAGTGTATAATCTTTGTAACAGTTCAGTAGTTTGCTTCATGTTATAATTGTTTGTGGGACTTGCATCCGTGAGTCTGATGCTCATATTCATACCTCATACCTCACATTTCCCTTCTTCGATCTTTAGAACATGCCCTGGTAATTGATATTATTATAGATTATGCTAATAGCAAACATTTATTGAGCATTTACTGTATGCCAAGCATTGTGCTTTACATGCCTTATGATTCCTACAACCCCATGGGATAGGTATTACTATGTCTTCCTCCAATTAATTTAGTAACTTACTGAAGGTTTTATAGTTAATACGTGAGCTAGGATTTGAATTTAGGTGTCCTAACTGCTGGTTCTGCTGTCTCCCTGAGTATGCTTTAAGATTCTGTTGTAAAAAGGGTTGAATGATCTAAAATTGACCTTCAAATTTCTAAGTTTCTCTGTTGTCTGTTAACCTCCAGGCTGTAAGACTAGAAAGTACTTACCAGAATCGAACACGCTATATGGTAGTGGTTTCAACTAATGGTAGACAAGACACTGAAGAAAGCATCGTCCTGGGAATGGATTTCTCCTCTAATGACAGGTATGGTACCACAGAAGGGAGATTGAGAAAACTCCTTTTTAAATAACCTATTCCAGTTGCCTTTTGAGTTATCACAAAAACATCTTATGCAGTTCTACTCTTAAAATTCAGTGCATAAAACTAGAGAACGCAAAAAAGTATCTTAGCCACACAGTCTTGAGAGATGAAAATGATTAGTGAATGTCTTTGGGGGTGTGTTCCTAATTTACCGTTATTCCTTACCCTCTTCTCATATTTAGATGGTAATGCTATAAAGCAAATGGTTTAAACTTGTATCTCCAGGGGGGGAAAAGCTGCCTTTTCTTTACAGTCCACTTTATTTTAAGCGGTAATAATTCGCTTTGGTGATTCTAGGGCCCACACCCTGTGATAGCGCATCAGTGGGTCCTGTGCTCAAAAAGAGCCCACTTTAACTTCAAGCTCTTATATTTATTCATGGCCTTACACCTTGCTTTTACCAAATGTTATGCTTCCTTTTTTCTTCTTCTGAGTTAAAAATGGGGGGAAAATGATTCTTTAAACTCAAAAAAGAACCCTTGATACTCATGCGTTTTTGGCTTTAGTGGCATTTTACATCCTATGATTAAAGATATCATACATCATACAGGACGTGGTGTTTTTGTATGTCTGAGGTTTGTTGCTTTCCTTTTTTTATTTTCCCACTTTTTCTGGAGAAACCTTGAGAAGACTGTGGAATGTGGCTGCTAAGCAGATCTTTGCACTCTAGATAATAAGCCTCAGGAAATCCTGCCAGATGTCTCAAAGCGTCGACTTCCTGGTTCAGGACTAGAATGGAACTGGGGAGTAGCTAGGGGTGTGACCCAAGCCTGGGAGAATTTAGCCACAAAGAAAAGAGGAGACTGGGAGTTATTCTAATTGTCCTGATGTTGGGAGGAAAAAAATCACATTGTCACTAGAGAGTTTCACAAACTAGTGTTTACCTGAGCTTGGACGTAGCAGTCAAGCTGAAAATGATTTGTGGGTTCACAAGGATCACAAGGCCAGAGTTGTTACCTTGTATACCACTTACAGCCTTTAATTGTATGCTCTGAAATTACACAGGCTTGTAAACCACATTTAGGAAGCTTTTTCTCCTGCATGGTTTTAACCTCTGGTGTTAGCTTAGCAACAGACCTTTCAGTAAACATTTATCCTATAAGAGCATCTACCTTGCCTACATACATTAGTATTTTAAGACCTCTGATTTGGGTCTTTATCTCTCTAGATCTATACCACCCAGTACGGTAGCCACTAACCACATTGTGACTGTTTAAATAAATTAATATTAAATAAAATTAAAATTTCGTCTCCTCAGTCACAACTGGCCACATTTCAAGTACTCTAGCTAGATGTGGTTAGTGCCTACCATATTGGACAGTACCTGTGTAGAACATTTATGTCATTGCAGAAAGTTCACTTGGACAGCACTGCTCTAAATCATACATCTTTTGTTTGGTTCTCCCTATTCCTCTCTTGGAAACCCCATAAAACAGGAACTGGGGCTGCGTGGAAACTTCACTTGAGAGAGAAGGCAACAACTTCAGATTCTCCTGACCCAGAGTGTGAGAAATCAGATGTCTAATCTTATCTCTTTCACTTTGTCCTAAACGTTCCCAGAAATCATAAAGGTTAATAAGAGTGCCCAGTAATTTACCCTCAGTGAATTGCGTCTATCTTCAGTAATAGTCCTGCTGGAATCATCTGACTAACAAAAGGAAATTTTAGTTTATGGAAGACAAAATGTGATATGAAAAGCTATAAAACTAGTTTGTGGTCTGTTTGGAAAACTTGATGTTGTGAATTCCCGTACATCCTCTGTTTGAATGAGCAACTTGGACAGTAAGAGAAATGCTGCCCACTTTAGAATACTGGTGCTCAGGTAATCTAATATTATTTCTATCTCAATTGCTGTTGAAGAAATTTGCATCATACTGTATCTGAGAATATAAAAAGTTAATGTTTCAAAACCGTATTAAACTAAAGTAGAACTCAGATTGTTTATGACATACTCTTCCCAACTAGTTCTCAAGATATGTTACAGCCAATTCATTTATCCTATTTACAAATTCTTTGAATATTGTGTTATGTTTTAAGTAATAAAAATTTTAATGTACAGTGTAACCTTTGTTTCCAAATTACACTGGATATATTTCAAGTTATAAAATAATAGAGCTTTATGATGTTGTTTGATAATTTTTCTTTGTACCCCCAACACCTTGAAATGTCTGATAAATATAGGCACTCACTGAATATTTGTTGAATGGGATGAGTATCTATCAAAATAAATGCCTATACTTTAATGGACAAAAATCTCATGAGACTCAGGGTAAACTGGATAAAAATACTGGCTGTGCCTAATTCAGGCCTCTCTTGCCTGTTGTGTGAGAAAGCTACTTCTTAGTGTAAAAAACCATTCTGACCTGAATACAAGATGAAAAGGTGATGTTTAGATCCTACATATCATTGTCGCTTGTCCAAAGTTTAACTGGTGTCTGGTCACAAGCTCATAGATCACACTCTTTTGGACCTTTTGTATCTTCTGTAGTTACTTAATTTCTAGATTTGTCACTAGGCTATCAATCCTTCATATTTATACCCAAATTATACATGTTGCTAGGAACCTGACTAAGCACTCCCTAAAAAAAAAACTACTCTAAAAATAACCCCACTCCACCTTGGGAACCCATTTTCAAAACAAGTTCTCCTTGCACTCGCCTCATCTACGCAACAAAAATAGTGTTGGAGCTATCTTCCTCCCTCCCAGACTCTGGCATGATAACTGCATCTGGAGTTCAGGCCCAGAGTTCCAGTGTGTGTAAACTGTTCAGTCTTGACTTGTATCTCCTGAATTCTGGAATCACTAGTGGAGTGTTGAGTAACACAGACCAGCAAGTGCCGTGCAAAGTATTAAGACACAGCCCAACTAGGGAATGGCCTTCATTAGCCCTGCAGTGACTCCAGTGAAAGCTTGGTATTCCTCATGTTGTTTTTAATGCATTTTCATGATGTGCTATACCCCCTGCAATCACTTTCAGTTATATTAGAACACCCACTACAGATTCATATTCAACATGTGTTTTACATGACAATATATTCATATATATTGTTTCATCTAAATATTTTAAATTTGTATGATAACCCTATGAGGGTAGGTTTTGTTACTTGCATTTTAAAATGAAGAAATTAAGGCTGGGAGAGGTTAAATAACTTATCAAAAAGAACTGAAATACTGGGGCTGGCTCGGTGGCATAGTGGTTAAGTTTGCGCGCTCTGCTTCGGAGGCCTGGGGTTCGCAGGTTCTATCCCGGGCGCGGACCTGACGCACTGCTTGTCAAGCCATGCTGTGGCGGCGTCCCATATAAAGTAGAGGAAGATGGGCACAGATGTTAGCCCAGGGCCAAGCTTCCTCAGCAAAAAGAGGAAGATTGGCAATGGATGTTAGCTCAGGGCTTATCTTCCTCACAAAAAGAAATGAAAGGAAAAGAATGGAAATACTAAGGAAGTCAAATTCAGATCTTTTGACATAGTATAACTGCTCAATAAGTGGTAGTTATTATTATGTTTTAGGCACCTTTGTACCATTTTTTCATGTAACTAAGTTAATCTTCTGGAGCACAAAGCAATTACATAAATTGTCTAAAATTGTACAGTCAGTGTCAGAACCCTGGTTCCAGAGCCCATCTGCCTCCAGAACCTCTGCTCTTAACCATATACTTCACTGTTCCCTCCCATGTCCAGGGTTCTTTCTACTATGCCATGCTGCTTTTCCTGATATATTGGCAGGTAGAGAGTGTAGGAGTCTTTGGGAGACTGGTTGTAGTGGAAAAACAGTTTATGGCAGCCTTGAGGAGAGAAAGTGGCAGAGGTCTGGGTAGATTACAGTTGTCCAGAGAAGTAGTATGATAGAGACACAACTGGGAGTCCATGGCTTCCTGTCCCATCTTAGAGCTTCCTGTTCCATTAACTTAGAACTAGTTTCCTCCCTAGGCTAGTGTGTGATTTATTTATTTATTTTTTTTTTTTTTCTTTTTATAATTTTATTTATTTATTTTTTCCCCCAAAGGCCCAGTAGATAGTTGTATGTCATAGTTGCACATCCTTCTAGTTGCTGTATGTGGGACGCGGCCCCAGCATGGTGGGACAAGTGGTGCGTCGGTGCGTGCCCGGGATCCGAACCCGGGCTGCCAGTAGCTGAGCGCGCGTACTTAACCGCTAAGCCACGGGGCCGGCCCTAGTGTGTGATTTAAATAGTATTTTAATATACCATCCTAGGGCAACCCTTTTGTTGGTTGTTTACATTCCTATTCACTCTGCGTTTCAGCAGTGCTAGTTCAGTGCACAGTCACCAAGCACTGTTTTATTTATTTCAGTTGTGTTGTGTCTATTTTGTTTCTAACTTTATCACAAGCCATTAACAATTACTTTTTTACATATTGTAATTTCCTTTCCCTTTTAGACTAGTGAGTGTGTTCTGGTGTTTAATAAATCTGTGTAAACCTCAGAATTAGAATTGAGCAAATCACGTATTCAGAGGTCTTCAATAACCAACAGTAGTTCTTGGAATTAGAAATAATTCTTGGAGTTGAATTGAGTGCTGTGACCTTGGGCTGAGACCTGCCAGTCGCAAGTCAGCAGCTTAGACAGTGGCCGTTGGCAATACAGGGAACTCAGTCAATAAGTTTTCTTTGTTAAATATATGAGGACCTGACTAACCACCTGTTTAGAACAGCTCTTGAGCACATACGTTGGATTGGATACTAATATGACAGAAATTTGTACACCCTAACACTTATGCCAAAATTTAGAGCTTAGGGGCTTATCCTTTGTGTTGAAAGAGTTAATAAACAAAGAACTGCTTCCTAGAATAACAGGGAGTAACTTATGAACTATTTCTTGTCTTACAGTAGCACTTGTACCATGGGCTTAGTCCTGCCTCTCTGGAGTGACACCCTAATTCATTTGGATGGTGATGGGTAAGAGCTTTCCCTTTTTATTCTCCTACAGAAAGCCAAGGGGTGGGGTTCCATCTTAGTGCCCATTCATTCAGCTGAATGGGAGGCCCAGTGTGCCCAACTGAACTGTCATGTCAGCAGCTCAATGAGTCCTTTTAAACTCCTGTTTTGTAAAGTAGAGTAAAAATATAACTTGCCAGAGCCTCTCACTTTTGTTCTTCTAGGCCGACTATGGTAAGAATCCCAACAAAGAAGAACTAGTTTGTTGGCTCACTCTTTAATCTGAGCATGTGGGACTGTTGCAATGCTCTCCCAGAGGATGATATGTTCTGTTTCAAATAACCTCTTGCTGCCTCTGCCAGCTGTCAGCCTACAGTGTAACCCCTTTCCTGTGCCAGTTCCTTCCAGTGACCCTCCACCCCCACCTCCTGGTGTTTTTAGAATGTGTCCCCAAGAGACCAAGATGTTTGCTCCAGTTTATACAACCAGGGTCAGATTTACTAAGAACCCAAAAGACTTCCAAATAGAAATATACAGCAGAACAGTTTGTCCGTAGCTACAGCTGGGAAACTGTATGTGATTCCCTAACTCCAATGTGAGAATGGATTCATTTTGCTTGGTAGATAAAATCAGACAATTTGTTGAAGCTTTTTAGTCAAGTCCTATACTCTAGTTAACTTCTACATGAAGTGCCTGATGATTCCTTCTACTGAGCGAACCGTTGCTAGCCTGGGAAACAACCTTGAAAACTCATAACTGAAGTAACCTCTCATTTGTGAATTTTTGTCTTCTCTTTTTTCCTTAGTGGGTTCAGTGTATCAACAGATAACAGAGTTCACATATTCAAACCTGTATCTGTGCAGGCAATGTGGTAAGAGGACTTTGAATATCTCTATGAAATTTTTTAAATATGTTATTCGAGCAATATTTTGTGAAAAGTAGTATTTGAAATGGTACAATTCTCTATGAAAATGCTGTATGATCTGTTTATGTGTATAGGATTTTGGGTGATCTGTTTGTGTGGCCATCATAGTTAAAGATGACCTAGAAGTTCAATTTTCTTTCTTTTTTTTTTTTTTTAAAGATTTTATTTATTTTTTCCCCCCAAAGCCCCAGTAGATAGTTGTATGTCATAGCTGCACATCCTTCTAGTTGCTGTATGTGGGACGCGGCCTCAGCATGGCCAGAGAAGCAGTGTATCGGTGCGCGCCTGGGATCTGAACCCCGGGCCACCAGCAGCGGAGCGAGAGCACCCAACCGCTAAGCCACGGGGCCGGCCCTCAATTTTCAAATTATCACAATGGAAGACCCTTGAGCATTGGTGAACAAGTGAAATTTGTTCACAGACTCTGGAAGATACTTAATGGATCAGATTGCCAGTTGGAATTGAGTTTTATAAAGGGAGACATTGACTAAGTTAGTAGCAGTCTAGAGACGAGTCTAGAACATCACACTACCGCTATGCATTAGCTTTCAGTTTCTTAAGGTAGTCAGAGATAGCATAGATAGAGTTACAGTATAGATGGATAAGTTTCCATTTAAGGTGCTGGCAACTGTCTGCATTATGCAAATAAAGCCCAGAAAAAACATTGTAGTTGTTAATAACCATCAGCTGTTGTACTGACACTTTTGAGTTACTTACCATATGTGTCAGGCATTATGCCTAGTGCTTTACATGAGTTACAGCTAATCATGACACAGCTCCCCAAAGTAGTATTATTAGCTCCTTATTATGAATGGGAAAACTGAAGTTTTGGAGACGTTACATAACTGGCCTAAGAGTATCTCTTAATTTAAACAGACTAGATTCTTATTCTCTTGTTCTAGATTATCTAGAAAAATGATCTAATATAACCAGAGAATGAAGTGACTCTAAGATTCAGAGTCCATCCCCCAGTCAGAGATTTGAATTTGAGTTCCTCATTCAGTTGCCTGTTCTGTAAAGGAAGTCCCCATGAGGAGCAGAAAGGACAGAATGCAAGCCTACCAAGAAATAAAGAAGCCTGAAAAGGACTCCAGGGAGATAATTTACTCCTGAATAACAGGATTGATAGGCTTGAGGTGGGTGGGGTCCTAAAACAGAGTCAACCGAACAATTAACAGTCTTATCGTTTAGTGCAGAGTAATTGAGGTAGGACAGAGTTTCAAGTCATGTGTTTCAGACCAGATTTTTAGATTTAGGGCATATTTCACAGATAAATTTCTCATGGAAAACTTATGACCTCCTTTGACTAAGGCTCTGTTAAAGGCAACTGACATATCTATTCTCAGGTGCCAAGTAAAACTGAACTGCCTAAGTCCCATAAATGACAGTGTTTTCGGTTATATATTGGGGAGGAGTACAAAGCAGTCTCAATTCTTAAGACACTGAAGATTCTAGTAATAACCTTAGTTCAAGCTTTGATGTTCTAAAGTAGACTGACTAGTCCTAGCTCTGTTGGCTTATTGCAGAATAAACTTTATTTGGTGTGCCACATGGGGAGTTGTGAACTGAATGTCACAGAAAAAAAAAATAGATGATGTATGGATCAAAGCAGGATTTAGACCAGGTGTTTCCTTCACAGGAAGGTGGTTACTGCAGCCTCCCACTCCTGTTTGCAGCTGAAGTATCTGAGGTGGCTAAGCCTAGAGTATATTTTAGGGCACTTGCACCAGAAGCTTGTGGCATATACTTTTGAAGCATGTGTTTCCCGGATGAAGAAAACATGCATTGAATATCCTGTACATTGCCCTTAGCTGGCCTTTACCTTTGAATCTGTGTAGTGAACCTGAAATTCACTGAGAATTCTCTGAGAATTGGACTGACTTCTCTGAGAATGTGGCTTACTTTGAGTAATAGAAAGTATTTTAAAAGATTCTGCAAGTTTGTTTTTAAGGAAAAATTTGTTTCCCTAATAAAAATGGACTGGCATGGTTTTTTCCCTTATCAAATTGGTAATGATTTTATTTTTTAATTTACATCATACGGGGTTGACAAGGACTCAAGGAACAGACGTTGTCATGTACTATTGGTGGGAGAATAAACTGGAATAACCTTTCTGGAGAGTGATTTGCCAATATGCTTTATCATTTTGCATGCCCTTTGACCTAGTAATTCTACTTCTAAGAATTTATCCTAAGGTAATAATCATGGTGTATGCAAAGATTTTAACTATAAGAATGTTTGTGGGCCGGCCGGTGGCTTAGCGGTTAAGTGTGCACGCTCCGCTGATGGCGGCCTGGGTTCGGATCCCGGGCGCGCACCGACGCACCGCTTCTCCGGCCATGCTGAGGCCGTGTCCCACATACAGCAACTAGAAGGATGTGCAGCTCTGACATACAACTATCTACTGGGGGTTTGGGGGGGGGGATGTTTGTCAGTGATCTAATAATGGCAAAAAAAATGGAAAACAATTCAAATGAAAAATAGGAATCATTTAAATTGGGGTACATCCATATTACTAAATATTATACATCCATTACAAATTATCTGGTTGAAGAATATTTATTGACTTGGAAAGATGTTGATGAGATGTAAAGTAAAAGAGCAAGTTAAAACAGTACGCACAACATGGTCATATCTTTATTATAGGTCTATGCATAGACAAGACTGGAAAGATCTATACTAAAACCTCAGCAGTGATTATTTCTGGGTAGTCAGATTATAGGATATTTCTGCCTTTTACCTGAGGTCCTTAAATTTTCTAAAGTGAGCATGGATCACTTTTGTTATGAGAGAAAAAAATAAGGCATTTTTAAGAAAAAGATGTAAATGGATTGGCCACAGAATTCTCATACTGTCCTTTTCCCTTAGGAGAGAGACATTAGTTTATAACCAATAGGGCATTTTATTCAACAAATACTCACTGTGCTCCACCTTTGAGTTAGGTATTCTTTTAGGCACTGATACATCAGTCAACAAAATGTAGAAAGATCCCTGCTCTTGTGTAACTAACTCCCTAGCATTTCTGCCTTTAGCTTTTCCAAAGTACGTAACCAAAAAGGTACTTTTCAGTTTTGTTTACCCTCCTTGGGTTCCTGAGTTCAGAGTCAGAGATTTAATTAGTCTCAGAATAACCAGAGCTGTTCTTAGAAAGTAGCTCAAGTATATGAATAAATGGTTTAAAGAGACTGGGAGACTAAGGCAGCAAGAATGATAGACGTCATTAGATCAGTACTTCCTGGACATTGAAGGACATGTCCTCAAGGCTTAGGGACATCTATCTGTGTGATCTTTGTGGAGCCTCTAAGAGTCATAGGGGATGTATGCTGTAACATGATTCTGTGCCAAAGGAAACAAATCTTTATATAGTAAACAGTTGAGATCCTTAGTTCTCTAATGATATAGCATAGCCACAGCATGGTTCCAACTATAGAACCATGAGATCCATAGGTACCTGGACCTATTTTTCATTGGTGGGTTGTCAGTTCTCCTGCTCCCCTCTACCCCCCATTGTAATGATGTATCATATCTTTCAGCAAGAAATGTCTAGTCGATTGCTATGAATACATAATATAGTATAATCAGAATCAGAGAATTTTGAATTCCAGGGAGTAGATTCTCCAGAGGCCATATTCAGGATTTAAAAATTAGAAGAGTGTGAGGTGCACATGGATTATTGGCCTTTTGGTACCCCCACAGTTCTACAGTGCTCATTTCCCGGCATATCTTTCAGGTCTGCATTACAGAGTTTACACAAGGCTTGTGAAGTGGCCAGAATGCATAACTACTACCCAGGAAGCCTATTTCTCACCTGGGTGAGTTATTACGAGAGCCATATCAACTCAGATCAATCCTCAGTCAATGAATGGAATGCTATGCAGGATGTGCAGTCCCACCGGCCTGACTCTCCAGCTCTCTTCACAGACATGTAAGTCAGTTTGCTGAGGATCGTGGAAGCCCTCTTTGTTGTGTCCTAGGGGATCGTAAACAGCATATTCCTCCGTAATCTCTCCTCTTGGGGAATTAATTTTACCAGTGATATTAGTCATTGTCTATATGACACATCTACCACACCAAGAACCCTGTTCTGTCTGTTGTCTGCAAAGGCCTGAAGAGTTTCACTCCTGGGCACAGTGGAGTCTTCCGTAGTTGAGAACTGCAATACCATAAAATCTCATTAATTCAGATTCCACTAATTTGAAATTTGACTTTAAAGGGGTTAGGCCGAAGTCTGCGTTTGCATTATCCGTGAAAGAAGTATTTGGTAAGCAAGTTAATGACATAGAGAAGCTTTTAGAGCGATGTTTATAATACTTAAGAAAATAAGATGTTTCCAGTCAGTCTAAAAGAAGGTTGTTACACTAATTTTAAACTGATTTCTCTTCAACATTTTTTTACTATTTTATAATTTGTCTTACTCAGCCCACCTTTACCTTGTTAAGTCTTAGTCAGTAAGATTTTATTAAATCTCCCTAGTGTACTGTGAGTTGGATAAAGGCCTAAGGTGGAGCTGATGTTTATTTCCTTTTTGGGTCTATGTGTTGAAACTTAGGTGACTATTTTGGAAACTTTTTTCACACTTAGTTCCTGCTTTGGAAATTAATCAGCATGTTTGTTTTTCTCTGAATCGATTTTTCTGCAATTCCATGGTATTCTACAGCTGGGAAAGAAGAGTGGCTACTTACTATGTGACCTTACGTACCTTCACCTTTGGAGTCCTAAAGTCCAAAACAGTTCATGATTTTTTTTTAAAAAGGCTTAATTTATGATGACGGATGGAAACTAGACTTTTGGTGGTGAACAAAATGTAGTGTATACAGAAGTCGAATTATAATGATGTTCACTGGAAATCTATACAATCTTATAAACCAATGTTGCCTCAATTAAAAAAAAGGCTTAATTTAGATAATAGTGTAATAAATGCTTTTTACTAGAAAAGGTGTAATTTCCAAGAATTCTGTGAATGGAATAGTCAAAAAGGCAGTAGAAGCTTTTTGCATAGGTTGTTATTGGTTCTAGGACCAATTGGTACTGGTAGTTCTAGTCCTTTCAAGATCCTACAGTAACTAAAAAGATAAGGATTAGTCTGGCTTTCAGAATCTTGGGAAATGTTATTGATTTCATGCTTTACAGCTGGTTGATGGGTATCAGAGGAATGGATATCTCATCTAGCTCAAAAATGGACATTCTGAACCAGACTTACATGAGAGAGAGAAAACCCGTCTCATTTTTAAAAAATTTTGTTAGATAAAATTTGGAAATTACAGCCAAAAGAAAAGAGAAAATGAAATTGTCCACAATCGCTCTATATCCCCAAGGAAAAAGAAATGTAAAATGTAATCCCTGGCACGTGGTAGAGGCTCATCAAATGTTAGTTCTTAGTATGTACAATATAACCCAAATTTTCAGGTATATTTAATAAACAAATGTCTGTTCATAGAAAAAGAGTCTGAAAGCTGTAGGTCAGAGTATTAATGATTATCTCTGATAGATTTTCAGTGATTTTTATTTTCTTTGTGTTTTTTTGTATTTTCCAAGTTTTTCTCTAGTGAAATCAAGGGAGAAAGTATGTTTGTGTTTTAATGCCTTTTCTATTACCTCCTCTTTACTAAGTTGACTAGAAAAGCCTAAAAAAGAATGCTAAGAATAGGGAAAGAATGTGTGCTAAAATGGACTTAAGTGCTCTATTGTGAATAAAGTTTATATTTTGAAATCCAAAGAAGGGGGAGAAGGGAACATATATGTATGATGCCTCTGGTGTGTGTCAAATGCTGTGCCAAGCACTTCATACGTGGTATGTCATTTTATCATCATAAGAACTTCATGAGGCAGATATTATTACTGTCCTCATTTTATAGAAAAAGAAACAGAGACTCAGAGAAGGGAAGGAATTTGTTCAAGGTCACACCACTGGTAAGTAGCAGGGCTGGGATTAAAACCCGGATGTGTCTGCTCTCAAACCACTCTGCCTCAAACAAGTGTGAAGGATTGGGAGAAAGATTGCTCAACTAGGGAATCTAACCCATGCACACAGGTGGTAAAATTTGGTTTTACCATTATTTCTTTTTAACAGAAGACTGAAATGTATCACTTTCTACCATTAGCTATCTTTCTATACATTACCAAATGTATAACTTTCTGCCATAACCCTAGGCATGGTTAAGAATTTTAATCCTAGTCAAGACAGGGATGCCTTGGCTGATTGACAGGGAAATGTCACAGGTATTAGCTGTATTCTGCATGGGTATGAGAAACTAAGAGCCCAAGCAGTGGGGAGCCCCAAGGTTGTGGGGTGAGAGCATCCATCTTTAGAGATTACTGAAACTATTTTTGCAGCCAGTGATAAAGCTGTAGGCAGCAAGGGCAGGCAGGATGCCTGAAGGCTTAGTCAATTTCCATCTCCAAATAAGGAGGTACAGAGCAGATACCTTTCTTGAGTAGGTAGGAGGGAAAGATGAGACAGAAAGTGCTGTCTGCCTCACTCAAATTCTGCATAATATGAAATAATGCTTTAGAGAGAAGCATCCAGTTACACTGGACCAATACTTTTCTAGTAAGTGGATAGTCGGCTTCCTAGTTTGATTTCATGTTCAAGTTCCAAGGGTAATTTTATTTTTAAGAGAGTCAGAAGACTAAAGGAAGCAACATAATCCTGCAGGTAGAGTGTTAGGCTAGGCTGAGAGTTCTAGTTCTCCTGCCAGTGTATGTGATCATTGACATGTCATTTAACCTTTCATCTGTTTATTTCCTATATCTGTAAAATGGGGATAACAATTTCACAGTTACTGTGAGAGCTTTTGTGAAAAAGAAAGCATTTTGGATGGAAGTATACTCTGAGTAGTTCATCCTTGAGACCCATTTTGGAAGAGAATTTGCCTCATCGAAGAAGACAGAAATCACTCTTCCCTTTTTCCTGTTTTCTAAAACCATAGGAATAAATGATTAGCGTTAGGTGGCATTTTAAGCTACAGAAGACTCAGTTCCATGGTGGGTCACACCACTGGTCTACCCAGCTTAGTATTCTCGCTCAGCAATTGGTACTAATTGGTACTCGGATACTTGATGGGAAAGTATGAATATGGTCATTCATTAAAGTATTTCACTCACTGTAGCCTGTTTGTTTTTGCTTCTTCATGGATCTATATACATGGATATATTTTAGGGCTTTTAGACATGTACAACCTCTTCAAGTAATAATTTCTACATGTTTACATTCTATACATTCTGAAAAGAAACTTTGTAAAAATAATTTTCTTTTTATCACACCTCCAGAAGATAAATTTTAGGGTAATGGAGAGGAGGCCTGCCAATTTGGAAACATAATCAAATGGCACATTCATTAACTTAGTCAAATTTCTGCCTGAGAAAAATCACCGGGCCGGCCCCGTGGCTTGGCGGTTAAGTGTGCGCGCTCCGCTGCTGGCGGCCCGGGTTCGGGTCCCGGGTGCGCACCGACGCACCGTTTCTCTGGCCATGCTGAGGCCGCATCCCACATACAGCAACTAGAAGGATGTGCAACTATGATGTACAACTATCTACTGGGGCTTTGGGGGAAAAAAAATAAATAAAATTTTAAAAAAAAAGAGGTTAAAAAAAAAAAAGAAAAATCACCATTTCTCTCTTCTCAGACCAACTGAACGTGAGCGAACAGAAAGGCTAATTAAAACCAAATTAAGGGAAATTATGATGCAGAAGGATTTGGAGAATATTACATCCAAAGAGGTAAGGGACCTTAAGTCTTCATTGTTCCAAGGCTAGCTGGGGGGCTAGAAATGGTGAGTGATTGAAAGTATAGAGGGACTTTACAGAGATTAGTACAATATGTCATCTTTGTTACAGATACGAACGGAGTTGGAAATGCAAATGGTGTGCAACTTGCGAGAATTCAAGGAATTTATAGATAATGAAATGATAGTGATCCTTGGTCAGATGGATAGTCCTACGCAGATATTTGAGCACGTGTTCTTGGTAAGTCTTAGGGCCACATGAAGTGGTGTGCTGAAGCCAGTCCATACCAACTCATGGGGGGCAGTTGTTAAATTTTATTATATTTAAATAAAATGTAACTTACATTAAAAACAAAAGTTTAATAAATAGTCAAACTTCATCACTTCCTGATTATTTTACTATTATCTGTGCTCTTAAGATCATTCACATCTATTGTATAGTGGAAATGTTATATAATGGTGTGCTTCTGCTCATCTCTTCCCAATTCATCATTCAGAGATATCAAGCTGGTGGATTAAAATGGACTATGGTGGGAAACTTTGTTCCAAGGAAATTGGCAAATGCTACAAATCAGGCCTTTTTTCCCCATCGGTTGTTAAATATCTCATCTGTTCTTCATAATAGTCAAAGTCAAAAACAGACCAGTCCACAATACTTTTATACAGTGTATCCAAATAGAATGATCCTTTGAGGTCAGTATTTCAGATCTGCCAAATGTGTCTAAGGTCTGATATGTCTGAGCAGAGCAGGTGGGAACCACTTATAACTGAGAGGCTATTGGACTTTTAAACATTTGGAACCTTGTAGCTACATTTTGAGTCCCCTGAATACTTTTGTGATTACCAAAAATTCAGTGACTTAAAATTGTTCTTCATGGTTCCTAAACATTCAGTGACCTGTTAATTAGCCCCAGGAGACCTCTCTGACAGATGGATTAGGAAAGCTAAAATCCTAAAACCCATTTTCCTCCCAAGTGTTAAAGAGTTCTAGTTTTCATCTGTACATGGTAGTGGGAACAAAGTTGACAAGGATAATTAAAATCAGTGGGAAACACCAAAACCTCATTTTGGTTTTCACTTCCCACACACTTTGATCAGAAATGCTAACAAGGAACTAAATTGATTGGTTTGAATTTCACTTCCTTTCTCTGGTAAGGACATTTGTGAAGTGTGAAATGATTAGCAGCTGAGAAACAGGAGAGAAGAGGAATAAATGCACTGGAACTGACTAAACTGGATCACCTCACCCTGAATATTCCAGAGTTTATTTCACCAGGCAATCAGCCTTTGTGCCATTAAAGGCTTGTGCCCTGAATTAACTTCTTGACACTCTAGAGTATGTGTGCTTGTAGAGTGATTCATAGTGGTATATAGCTATGAAATTACTCACGAAAAGCTGTGAGCTGGAAGGAAATATTTTTTTCATTACTTTAACTTTGACCAATGCGTGTTGCCATTTCTGGATGGATGTAGATCATACTGCAGAGTTGTCAATGACTTTTCCATTTGTAAAGCACCTGGCTTTGTTGTGTTTTGTGTATACTTCCATGAGGGTTCAAGTATTCTCTGTTCTTGTGTTGTTGGAAAGAATTTTTGTAATAGCTGTAGAAAACTTATGAGTCACTCATTCAAATGGACCCTGCCCCCAACAGTCTCCATGTAACATGACTAATTCTTATGAAGGGCAAGTGCCTGTAGCCAAAAATAGCTCGTGTTAGAAAGTAACCAAAGCTGTAAACTGGAAAGTCACTTTCCCATTGAGCTTGGATTTTAATACCTAAAAGGATGTAGACACAATGAATATCAAATACAGTCAATATCTGACTGGTCAGCCTGCTTAATTTCAGGCATACTTCCCTGTGTCTCTGATGCCACCGTCTCAAAAACTACCTTCTCCTTACCCTCTCCTCAATGGTATATTTATAAACAAATTTTAATAGTACTCTAAGCAGAAAGAACAAGCCTGTTCTCCCCATATTACAGTCCGTAATCAACTACAAATGCATTTGAGCATTTGTACCAATAGATTCATCCTATTATTTCATAATTACTGGCATATTCTTCTATTTTGGTTTTTTTTCTTATTTCAAAAATAATTTAGGGCCTGCCCCGTGGCTTGGCGGTTAAGTGCGCGTGCTCCGCTGCTGGCGGCCCTGATTCAGATCCCGGGTGCGCACCAAACGCATCACTTCTCTGGCCATGCTGAGGCCGAGTCCCACATACAGCAACTAGAAGGATGTGCAACTATGATGTACAACTGTCTACTGGGGCTTTGGGGGAAAAAAAAGGAGGAGGATTGGCAATAGATGTTAGCTCAGAGCCGGTCTTCCTCAGCAAAAAAAGAGGAGGATTAGCATGGATGTTAGCTCAGGGCTGATCTTCCTCACAAAAAAATAATAGTAATGATAATAATTTATATTCATTGTAGAAAACTTAGTTTTAGAAGAAAATAATTAACATTTAATCATCACCAAGAAAGATAAGCACTATTATCTTTTGTTATATAATATTGCCTTCCAGTCTTTTTTACTTTTTAAGAATGTATCTACGCACATATTTTTGAAAAAAGGAAAATTTATTCAGCTTCAGATATAATTCTATTTTCTAGAGAATGGACATGTTCTTTCCATTGTGAATATTTTTCTTATTCAGAAAAAACTTTGAAACTGGAGAATCCTGAAATTTAACTCTTGTCCAACAAAATAAGTGCAAGAACAGGTTGTCTAAACATCTTATTGTACTTCTTCCTTGATGACTTCCTCCCTTTGTTTGCACCACCATATCCTGTGTCCAAAACCCTATCTCTTCTCCAGTGAGTCTGTGCTCTGCTGGATTTCCCACCAATTGACACGGAAAAAGATGTCTTATCTAAGCTACAAGTGGTGGTGTTAATTTTCTGTAAAATCGTTTCATCTTGTACGTAGCTGCCATGCCTGGAGCACAAGCAGATTGTGTGAAGGGAGGCAGCAGAATTCCCCCCTCCCTTTGGGAGAATGCTCAGCTCTGCAATGCACTGCACAGAGATGTTTATTTGGAAAGGTATCCAGCTGGTATGGAGAAGAACAGTGTAGAGCATAGTTTAAAGAAAATCTGCAACAAGAAGAGAGGATCGATTGGTTAGAAGCCAAGGTATTTCCAGAAAAAGAAGTTCTTCCACGCCCTTAAGAGTGTACCACTTCTCTGAGCTGGAATCCTTTACCCAACCAAATCTCAATATCAGCAGCTCTCTTGGAGGCCATCTGATTTGGCTGTGAAGAAGCTAGATATGAACAGAGACCCTTTGCAGAAAGGCAAGCAGCTTTCTTAGTTAAGGGAAACACAGGAATATTGGACACAACCAATAATTTTATTCATGAATAAAAAAGTAGTCAAATTTTAGTGCTGATTGCTATCTTTTTTAAGATTTGACATTATAAGTCCTTTTAGAGTAGTGTTTCATTGTCAAAGAAAAATTAAGACTCAAATTAGTGGTTACTTTTACTGTAGGTACAGAGAAGTGGAGGATATGTGAATAGATGAGATAGTAATCAAATGGGTTATTTTAATCATATTCATGATTTTTGTCCCTCAACTGGAGATGTGTAGCGCAGACTCAGAAGAAGTTAATAGAGGTCTTGTGCCTGATTGCCACAGTAACGTGGCTCACAGCATTGAGGCTATAGGTATGGTATGAGGAGGAAGATATGAACAGGGATACCAGTCCTTGGAGATTATGTCAAGTTGTATTGATTTTAGCAGAACCCCTAATACAGTCCTTCCTATTTGCCATAAATGTGCTCTCCTCTTCTATTTTGCTTGAAACATTTGGACTCCAACAAGGCTATTTCCTAAGGATAACTTTTGAAAAGAAATCAATCACTTGGATCTTTGGCCAGGGTGCAGTGTAGGGAAACCAGAGTGCAAGATGGAAATAAACTTACTTAAAAATGTATTTTAGTCCCAAGATTTCATTTTACACTTCAGTAAAATTAGAATATGCTTTGCATAATTACATAGAACATAGTGAAAACCTCCATGGAATTATGTGACTGTAAGCCTGAGAAGCATGGGAAAAAAAAAAAGAACGAGTCTGTGGAGGGCCCCAGGGGACTAATATGCCTGGCATTTGTATTGAGGGCAGAAAAATATTTACACCACGTTGACTCCAGTTCTTTCTTTCAGGTTGAACCTGAAGCAGCCCTAACCACAGCCCAAGTCACTTTATATGGGCTTCACTGAGTCAGTAGCCAATGCATTTAGTTTATTTTGTTTCTGGATATGTATCATTTCAGATTGTCAGACTGAATTTTCTGTGGACAGGTAGTTGAAAATCATAGACTTTTCCCATCACGTCAGGGTTATTTCCAACTAGATGGACAGAGTTCCGCAGAGGATTTAGATTTCTAAATTAAGAAATGAGGTGGTCACATTTCCCTGGCTCCAGTTTAGCCACTCAACCCTTATTGCTTGGCTTCTGTCCCCTTGAAGTCCTTTGTAGTTCTTGCCTTTTTCTTTGGTGTGGGAGCTAGTTTTCTAAGGTTGAGCACAGAGCCTTCAGAACCTCCCATGTTTTTTGAAAGCAAGTCGGCTGAGCCCTGGTCTGTAGAAAAGATCAGTTGTCCATCGCTTATTGACCTTTTCCTAAATGGAACTTCAACACAATACCCTTGAGATCTCCCAGTTCAACGGCCAAATTACAGATCACTTGTAATACGGTGATGGTGCTTGCATAACACTTAACAATTTTCAAAGTGCTTCATTTACTTATCTCACTTGATCATTCATTCAGCAAACCTTTGTTGATCCTCTTTAGTGTGCCAAGTATGAGGCTAGATATTTCTGCAGTCTGACCTAGTTCCATAAAAAGAGAGTGATGAACTATATCAGATAGATACTCATAGAAGGCCAATGGAATAAGGATACAAAGGTGACCCCTGCATTAGACAATTAGAAGAAGTCATTGATAACAGCAACAAGAGTGATGAGGGCAGGAGCCACAGTGTTATGGGTTGAGACTTGGGAAATGAGGAATTAGAGAAAGTAAGTAGATTATATTTCTGTGAATCCTGTCTATGAAGGGAAGAGAAAAAGGACGATGTCTAGAGGAGGATTCAGGATGGAGAGAGGGTTTTTCCATTTTAATATGGGAGAAACTGTTGTTTTGTTTGTTTGTTTGTTTGTTTTTGGCTTGTAAACTACAGAAATTTATTTCTTACAGTTCTGAAGGCTAGAAGTCTGAGATCAGGGTGCCTGCATGGTCGGGTGAGGGCCCTCTTATGGGTCACAGACTTCTCTTTGTATTCTCACATGGCAGGAAGGATTGGGAGAAACGTTATGTTTGTAAGTCGAGGGGAAGGTAGCCATAGATATCTATAAAACTAGGGTGGGAAGAATGTTCCATTTTACAGATAAAGAAAGTGAAGACAGAGAGGTTAAGTAGTTTGCCCAATACCCCACAGTAGGAAGGGGAGTTGGGGCTTGAACCCAAGTCTTCTAATGCTCAATTCCATTTAATTCATAATTCTGAAATAGGTAAATTCTTATTTTTAAATGTTTGCCTTTTCAAAAGATGGGAACAGATAGCTCAAAGATAGAAAATGGACCTGAAACATTAAAAAGTTGTTCACTTTTACTCTTAAGAGAAATGCAAATTGAAATTATACTGAGATAACATTTCATACCTATCAGATTGGCAAAAATTCAAAAGCTTAACCACACATTTTGTTGGCAAGGCTGTGGGGAAAGTGGCACTCTCCTACATTGCTGGTGGAAATGCAGAATTGTTTCAGCCTCTACAGAGGGGAATTTAGCAATGTCTAACAAAACTATGCATTTACCCTTGACCCGCAGCAATCTTGCTTCCACAAATAGGAATAATCATTCATAGGAAGCTAGTTGAATAAATTATTATATCACTACCCAATGAAGTACTATGCAGATGTAAGAAAGAACAAGGAAGATCTCTATGAACTGTGATATGGAATGGTTTTGAAGATATGTTGTAAAGTGAAGAAAGCAAGGAACAAAAAAAGTATATGTAGTATACCACTGTTGTGTAAGAAGTGATTATAAATGTATATCTGCTTATATTTTTTTTGAAATAGAACATAGGTACAACAAGCCAGAAACTAATGAAAATGATTACCTATGGGCATTGAAGAGATAGGAGTGAGAATGAGACTTCGAATTTACTTTTTAGTAAACTTTTGACTTTCAACCTTGTAAAAGTTTTGCATATTCAAAAAAATCAAATGGAAAAAGCGCACCCTAAAATTGAATACAAACAGGATAAACAAACCCAAATGTATATTAAGTTGATAACCTCACAAAAAGAAATTAATTCAAATAACTTTTAAGCATAATACTCTTTATTGCACTCCTTAATGAAATATAATAAGGAAGAAAAGAATTGCAAATAAAATTTGAACTTAATAGGTATATTATTGGTTGTGGTATTGGTGTAATAATGTTGAAATTATTTTGTAAGTGGAGCAAGTGAGTTGTTGGGAACCAAGGTTCTCACTGTGGAGTAGGGAGATATAAATAATGAGGGAGGGACAAGAAAGAAAGGAAGAACCTTGTGTGTTGAATTGGAATTTGGAGGTACCAGAGTAAACACAATATTTCTTTAGAAATATTTCCTAGGGCCGGCCCTGTAGCTTAGCGGTTAAGTTCGTGTGCTCCGCTGCTGGCGGCCCGGGTTTGGATCCCGGGCGCGCATCAACTCACCGCTTCGCCGGCCACGCTGAGGCCGTGTCCCACATACAGCAACTAGAAGGATGTGCAGCTATGACATACAACTATCTACTGGCGCTTTGGGGGGAAAATAAATAAATAAATAAAATCTTTAAAAAAAAAAAAAGAAATATTTCCTAGATCTGTCCTCTAAAAAGTTTTAGAAGCAGTGACACCCAATATTTATGAGCGTACCTAATTGATGCCCAGATCTTGATTACAAAATATCATTCTTCACTAAAAGAAACCAGGGCTCCTTGGGGAAATGGCTGATTCCACTCACAAAGTGAATCTGAAACAACTTTTTGGACCAGAAAGCAAAGAAGTGCTGAAAGACTAATGGGATCATATCAAAAGGAGCCTGCTTAAAGAGATTCCCACTGGCCAAATTCGGTACAATTTGAGTGTCCAAAAAAAAAAAAGATAGTAATGGATTATAATGTACTAAATACAAAAAGAATTCAAGAGTCCATAGTGACATTCAAATAAAGGGTGGGAGGATTGATTAAGTGACAGTCTCTTACAGAAGAATGCCAGCTAACATGCAAAAGGAATGATGGAACTGGAAAATCACCATTTTGTAACCTCCAGTGAAATTATTGATTTCGGCAAGATCAGCAATTGATGCTGAAACATAGTGAAACAGGATATTCGCATGGCTTCAAAGATTACTAATACCTAGAGATAACTAACTAATGGTAAAGGAACCTTTATAATAGAGGCATGTGGCAGACACAAAGGTACCTACCAAGAATTCAAATTCAGCCTGACAAATAATAGGACAAACTGAGATTATGTGCCTCATGATTTGATGCAGTAGGAAGTACATAACATCCCCCTTGTAATATTCTTGCCAAGAATGTTTGACTTGAATCTAATCATCAGGAAACCATCAGACAAATCCAGATTGTGGGGAGTTTTCCAAGATTACAGACCTGTAGTCTGCAAAAATGTCAGTATCGTGAAAGACAAAATAAAGGAGGGGGGTGGACTGTGCTAGGTTAAAGGAGATAGAGACATGGCAGCTAAATGCAAAGTATGATCCTTGGTTGAGTAAATATAATGGACATTTTGAGGGCAATTTTGAAATTCAAATATGGATGATGTGTTCATTTATTATCATATTAATGTTATCTTTCTTAGTTTTAAACATGGAATTATATAGGAGAATATTCTTGTTCTTAAACAATACATGATTTAGTATTGAAGTGAAGTGTCATGATGTTCAAATTTCAGAAGGTTCAGAGGAAAAAGTTTGATTTATATTGAAAGAAAGGGAAGGGGAGAGAGAGAGTAGATGTGGCAAAATATTAACAACTGACATATCTTCTGGATAATCTGCAGAACCCCACCTTTTTAAAATTTTGCATATCATGTTTCCCTAATTTGTTTGACAGAAGCTACTATTTCGCGCTCTCCCCCTACGCGCACACACTTTACACCCCCAACTCCTTAGATGCAACATAATACACTAGAAAGAGTGTGCATTTTGAAATTAAATCTAGGTTTAATTCATAATAATGCCACTTTGTTCATTCAACAAATGTTTATTGAAGACCTGCCAGGTGCCAGGGACTGTGCAGGGGTTTCTATATGCAACAAGAGACCTGGTTCCTGCCCTCAAGAACCGTCTATTATAGTAGAGGAAAAAGGTAGTAAATAAACACATAAGTAAATATACAAATAAAAATTGTGATACATGCTATTGAAAAAAGTCAGAGTACAGGAGTCTCCCCTTATCCATGAGGGATACATTCCAAGACCCCCAGTGGAGGCCTGAAACCACAGATAGTACTGAACCCTATCTATACTATGTTTCTTCCTATATATACATATTTGAGGTGTGGCAGCAAAACGAGCAATTTCTTTTTCCTTCACAATTTCATGGATAGAAGATTTGTTCTTAGTGTAGATCTTAGCAACCTCAGCATGCAATTTTTTTCTCACTAAGTTGAGAATTTTCCCCTTTTCACTTAAAGGAAGCACTTTACAGCTTCTCTTTGGCATATCCGAATTGCCAGCCTCACTAATCTTGCACTTTGGGGCCATTATTAAGTAAAATAAGGATTGCTTGAACACAAGCACTGCAATACCGCGCAGTTGATCTGATAACCGAGAGGGCTACTAACTAACGACAGGTAGCCTATACAGAGAGGATACACTGGACAAAGCGATGGTTTATGTGCCAGGCAAGACGGCACAAGATTTCATCACACTGCTCAGAACGGTGCACAATTTAAAACTTATGAATTGTTTATTTCTGGAATTTTCCATTTAATATTTTCTTTTTTTTTTTTTGTGAGGAGGACCAGCCCTGAGCTAACATCCAATGCCAATCCTCCTCTTTTTGCTGAGGAAGACTGGCCCTGGGCTAACATCCATGCCCATCTTCCTCTACTTTATATGGAACACCGCCACAGCATGGCTTAACAAGCGGTGCGTCGGTGCGCACCCGGGATCTGAACCGGCGAACCCTGGGCCGCCGCAGCGGAACGTGCGCACCCAACCGCTTGCGCCACCGGGCTGGCCCCATCATTTAATATTTTCAAACCACAGTTGACCACGGGTAGGTGAAACCGTGGATAAGGGGGGACTACTGTACTATAAACACGAATAACAGGCAACATTTAACTTAGATTAGAGGATGGTCACAGACACCTCTCCAGCGATGTGATCTTGAGCGAAAATTATTTGAATTCTATGAGGGTTTTTCTTATCTATAAAAATGAAGATAACTTTCTTACTCTATCATTTGTGAAAACTAAATGTGATGACATGTGAAGTATGTGGCACATGGAGAGGAAACTCCATAAATGTTACTGGCCTTCTTTTTAGAAACTCTGCTTCTTCCCCCACAGGTCTCCTTTTCAAGTATTGTATTTGGTTGATTTGCTAATACTCCCTAACCTTGTCTTTTTGTTTCCACAGGGCTCCGAATGGAATGCCTCTAATTTAGAGGATTTACAGAACCGAGGGTAAGTACACAGAGCAATTGCTGACAACCCCATGTGACAGATATCTCTGTTTTATCTTTATATTTTCCAGTCAGAGAGGTATCAGTAACCTTAAGCTTAAGAGTTGCTTCCAGTTTATTCTAATCAGGTGGAATCTAATAAAAATTAAAACAGCTTGTCTGCCACTGTTTCATCCCCCCACTTTCCAAGAAAGATCAGCTATTTCAGTGGAAAGGCTTTCAAAAACAAATGTGCAAGCCTTTTCGTGCTGTTTCAAACCAAATACAGTTATTTCTTCCTTTTTCTTAACTTTGGGGTTTTTTTAGAGCAGTTTAAGGTTCACAGCAAAATGGAGGGGAAGGTACAGAGATTTCCCATATATTCCTGCCCCTACACATTGGACAGCCTCCTCCATTATCAACATCCCCATCAGAGGGGTACATTTGTTACAGTCGATGAACCTACATTGACAAGTTGTAATCACCCAAAGTCCATAGTTTACATTACAGTTCCCTCTTGGTGTTGTGCATTCTATGGCTTTGGACAAATATATGACATGTATCCATCATTATGGTATCCTACAGAGTATTTTCACTGCCCTAAAAATCCTCTGTTCTCCACCCATATATCTCCCCACCCCCAACCCCTGGCACCACTGATCTTTTTACTGTCTCCATGGTTTTGCCTTTGGTTCCTATTTTTATGTAAGAGTACACAGAACTGCATATGTTGGGTTCACAGAGCTGTTCATTCAACATGTATCAAGCATCTTCTGTGGGCCAAGCATAATACTAGCTGCTAGGGATCCAAAGATAAATAAGACTCAGTCCCTCTCCTTTTATAGTAAGGTGCTTGAAGACTAAGTAGGTTATAAATGTAAAATGGACAAGCTTCTGAAATTGAACAAGAAGACCTACCTTGTATTAAGAAATGTGCCCCTAAGCAGCATAGTTATTGAGTTGAGACCACAGTGAACATTCAGCAAGCAAAAAAGCTGCCATTCTTCCCTTTTTACTTCTTAGCTAATGCCTAAATTTTTCATTGAACTTGGCCTTGGGAGGTGAAATCATTCCCATAAGAGAAGAGAAAATCATCTCTAGAAATTGGCCATACTGATTCTTCATTGTGGGCAGAGATAAGACCTGCTGAGACTCAGAGGTAGTGATGGCTGCCTGGCTGGTTGCTGGCTGCCTGTTTTCTCAGCTACAAGTCAGCCTTCTGGTTATCTTTAACATGATTAGATGCATACTCCCTACGTTTCCCCCAGAAGGAAGGTATGTCAGAATTGCTAAAATGAACTTGGATCAGGACTTAAGCCAAATGATTATACGACGAGTTCCAGGAGGGGAAATCTGGTTACTTAATTTAAGATATGAAAATAAATAGAAGTTGGAAAATATAAATAGATAAGGATTGAATCTACAGTTCTTGAAAGCAGAGACTGTATCTTAGTTTTGTGTAAAACATATATCTACCTAGCTCAGAGCTTAATACCAAGAAGGGTGCTCAGTAAATGTGAAGGAATGATAGAAAAATTGACAGACTTTGACTTGCGGGAAACGAACAACCTCGATACAGTGTTTAATATGAAATCTGAGATTTGATATAGCGGTGCTTGCCAAATGCGTTGGAATCACATCATGCATACATACACTTAGACCTTTGACTTAGAACCTCAGCTGGAGGTGAGAGCTGTTCATCTCATTTACTACTCATAAGGCTAAATTATAGAACACAGATAGATGTATCTGTCTTTTTAAAAAATAGTATGGTTGGATGCTCAGACGTCTTTGTAAATCTTGTTTTTTATTTTAGAGTTGTTTTTTTTTGTGTGTGTGTGTGTGTGTGCGTGTGTGTGAGGAAGATCAGCCCTGAGCTAACATCTATGCTAATCCTCCTCTTTTTGCTGAGGAGGACCGGCTCTGAGCTAACATCTATTGTCAATCCTCCTCCTTTTTTTTCCCCAAAGCCCCAGTAGACAGCTGTATGTCATAGTTGCACATCCTTCTAGTTGCTGTATGTGGGATGCAGCCTCAGCATGGCCGGACAAGCGGTGCGTCGGTGCGCACCTGGGATCCAAACCCGGGCCGCCAGTAGCAGAGCGCGCACACTTAACCGCTAAGCCACAGGGCCGGCCCAAAATCTTGTTCTTTAAATTCACTCGTTCTTAAACTTTAGTGGATAAAGAATTACAGTTCAGGGATCTGTACACAAAACATGTGTACTGCTCTCTCTGAATGATTTAAGGGATTTTCAAGTGCAATTTTGACAATAAGGCCATTTTCACCAATCTACTGACTTTAGAAACCCAAGTAAAGTGCTACTCCATATAGAGATAGCAAAGAAATTTCAAGGAGTGCCAATTCCAATTGGTAGTGGCTGCCTAGAGTTCTGTAATGAAAAGGGCTGGGAAGCCCTGTCCTGCCATAATCCATTATTGAAGTATGGGATTGGAGGAGAGAGGTTGTTCGTTTTTATTTTAAATAAAATAAGAGAAGTATGGTTGCCTTTTCTTTCTCACAGTTTTATTGAGATAAAATTCACATACAGTTCAACCATTTAAAACGTATACTTCAGTGGTTTTTAGTATATTCATAGAGTTGTACAACAATCAAGTTAGAACATCTTTTCAACCCCCGAAAAAACCTGTACCCTTCAGCAGTCATTCCCATTTCCCTTCTTCCCCCAGCCCCTAGAAACTACTAATCATCTGTCTGTCTCTATAGATTTGCCTATTCTGGACATTTCATTTAAATGGAATCATACAATATGTGGTCTTTTAAGAATGGTTTCTTTCACTTAACTTTGTATTTTCAAGGTTTGTCAACGTTGTAGCATGTGTTAGTACTTCATTTTTTATTGGCAAATAATATTCCATTGTATGGATATACCACGTTTTATTTATCCATTTGTCAATTGATGGACATTTAGGTTATTTTCACTTTTTGGCTATTATAAATACTGCTGTGACCATTCATGTACAAATTTTTGGGTGGACTTATGCTTTCATTTCTCTTGGGTTTATACCTGGGAGAGAAATTGCTGGGTCATATGGTAACTCTATGTTTAACCTTTTGGGGAACTGCTTGACTGTTTTCCACAGTTGCATGTGCTTGCTTTTTAAATTAAAAAGAAAAAATCCTTTCTAGTAATGGACTTTGATGCTAAGTTAAAACGGATTCAAATCATGTCCCAGAAAAATTACCTTCACCACAGAATTGGTTAGCTATGGCTCTTCCTTTCTGTAGTCATTTCTCTGTCTTCAGAGATTGGGTTTGTAGAACTCCGCATGTGATTCTGAGAAGGAAGCAGCTTCTGCAGAGAGAAATGAGTGAGTCTGTGTTGTGTTGTTGGAGTAAACTCCTGTGATGTCTAAGTCCACACAGCACTGAGAAAAGGTAACCCTTTGGCAAATTAAGCCCAAGCATTTATTAAGATTGCTCAGTGAGAGAGAGAGCAGAAGAACTTTTTGATACAGAAACCCTTTTCTGCAACCATCTCACTGTGGGACAACTCTCAGACACATCTGCTGCCATAGCAGCCAGGAATGCAGCCTAGAGAGTTAAGAGAGTTTTAAGTCCAACTTTCCTCTGACCCTCCCAGCCCTGGCCTCATTTGCCTTCCATGTAGTTTAGAGAGAGTAATAGAGCAAAATCCGACAATCTGGCATTTAGAAAGATAGGAGGAAATTGTTCCCTTTTCTGTTTTTTTTAATTTTCTTGAGGTACATGTTTGAGAGTCTGATTTAATACAATTGACTTCCAAAGAATATATTATGTTGCTGGTAATTTTAGTGACTGAAGAGAAATTGTTAGATCATGGGCCTTAGATTGCTTCTTTACAGTAAAATACAAGGCATATTTTCAAAAGACTATCAAAGATGAGATTGTGTAACTATATGTACACTGAAAGTGGAATTTAGATGTTGAACTTGGTAGACAGCTTTTCTCTCAATAACTCCCTGTTGCCCAGGTATGCCCAGGACCCTGTTATGTAGTTTCTGGGCTAAATAAGTATAGCCTCTTAGTTGTTTAGCTTTCTTTAATATTTTAATATTTAATTTCAGCCTAGGGAGTAAACAAGTTTTAAATAAGAAAAACGGTGCTGAGAATTGGATTTAGCCTGAGTAGTAGAGCCTGTATTTTCCCTTGGTTTCCTCACAGGGTGCGGTATATCTTGAATGTCACTCGAGAGATAGATAACTTCTTCCCAGGAGTCTTTGAGTATCATAACATCCGGGTATATGATGAAGAGGCAACGGATCTCCTGGCCTACTGGAATGACACTTACAAATTCATCTCTAAAGCAAAGTGAGTAATGGTCCCTCACACATATTCTGACCCCACTGTTCCTTGTGCACCACACATGGCTGGGGCCTAAAAGCTGTAGATAACTTACTGATGGTACTCAGGAAAAAGGAAGTAAAGAAAAAATGGATACTGAGATTTCTTAATCCTAGGGAAAAGATGACTAGTGACTTAATACTTTGCCTTTAAGTAGATAAAGCCACTGGAAGAAGATGACCTCATGTTGGCTATTTCCATTGAGCACAAAATTAGAGAAAATAAGCTGCAGCAAAATAAATAGAAATGAGAGAAGGAGGAAATTCTGAATGAAATGCTTCAATTGCCAGTGAGGACATTTGAAAGTTATATAGTAGAAATTATTCCAGATAGGTAGAATTCTGGGTCATCCTCTCTGAAGACAAGGAGAGACGCATAGTGAGCTTTGGAAATGTTTTCGCATTCTTTTACTTTACTTTTATGATACTCTAAATAGTGAAATTTTTCTCTAGCCCTTCTGTTGATGTCTTCCTTAATTTAATTGGTCCTTTTAGTGAAACTGTTTAGTAGTATTAATTTAGTGGTTGGTATTAATATCTCAACACTGATTTTTTTAAGTCCCAGGGAATTTCCTTGCCAATCCTATTGATTCCTTCAATAGAAGGAACCATAAATGAGCATGTTGGCTACACTCCCCTTTCAGGTGGGACCACGTTCAAATCATTCCCAGCAGATGAGAAGCACTTCTGTTTTTAAAATCCTCCTTCAAGTATGATTCCATACCTCTCTTCAAAGACCTTCATGGTCAGGAAATCTTTCTCTTAGTTACCCTGAATCCCCATACTCTAGCTTTGAGCCCGTTCTTTCAGTCTTTAGCCAGCACCTGAAAGAGTGTTTTATATTCTCAAGGCCTGTTATTAAATTATTCCCAATAATGATACCATTCGTGGCATGCTTACTGTGTGCCAAGTACTTTACATGTATTCTCTCGTATAATATTTTCCAAAACCCAGAGAGGCATATACTGTCATCCTTCTGTACAGATGAGGACAGACTGTAGAGATAACATTCAGAGAGGTTAAATAACAAGTGGTGAAGATAAGACTTGAATCTAAGATCGTATCTCATTTCAGAGTCCATCAAGTATTTAGGAATAGTCTAGTTCCTTAAGGAAAGGGTATTGGAAAAGACGAGGCAAGTTGTCAGGGTCACAGCCTAAGTGGCTAGAGTTCAAGGTGAGGCCATAGTCGCAGCAGGGCTGGGATTAGGGTAAGGCTCACAAGGCGCCCAGGTTACATTTAAGCAGGCACTCTCTCTCAGGCTCCTGCAAGTGTAGATCAGCATTTGAGAGTGAGTGCTTCCTTAAATGGCACCCTGGGTACCTCATGTGTTTCACCCTAATCAGGGCCCTGAATTCCAGATTCTACCTACAAATGAGTGGGTTTAGGATTCCTAATGTGATACCAGGCTTAATCTGGACAATCCAGCGCTGGGGGGTGGGATGAAGGTGCTGAACCTGAAAGGTGAAATTGGATCAGGTGAGAACTGACTCAGGTCCTTCGTTACATGAGTTAGAAGCCATCCACTGAAAAAGCCCAGTTCAAAATGAAGAAATGTTTTCATGGGAGTGGATTTCCTAATTGTATTTTTCTTAGGATTGTCCAAGTTTGAGCACCTTCCATGCCTGCAGGCATAGACCTGAAATTTACTGCATTATAGTTGTCAGAGCTTGATGGGAAGATATAGAGCACATGTCTGAACTTCCATCTGAGTCACTGTGCATTGTTTAAATGAAAACCCTATGGTGCAGTAAGCAAGACAGGTATTTCCTAGTCATTTGGGATAATCTAAGCACACAGAGACACACACCACGCCAACATTAGGACACTAGAATTGTGCATCTAATTGACAGGTAGGAGGTTAATCTTACCTTCCTTTCGAGACTGTTTCAATTATTCCAGACCACTCTCTGCATTCCTGTAGCTTATCTAGCTCACTCATTTTGGCACTTCACCTCATGCCTCCTTGCACTGGTGCTTAACTCTTTCATGTGTCTCTATCTCCAGCAGAAGGATTATAAGCTTCTGGAAGGAAGCTTGTCTACTGTAATACAGTGAATGAGTGAATGAATAAATCTCTCTTGTTCGTCTGACATGTGCATTTTTTAATTTATTGGAATAGCCACTTGGGAAGGATTCCAGCCCATGTATACTAGTGATAAGAGTACTGTTATTTTTTCCAGGTTTTAAAATGTTCCTGCTTACAACTGACAGATCTAATCGGCAGTTCAATAAGTTTGTTCATACATTTAGCAAATATTTGAAGGCTTACTCTGTGCCAGACACTGTGTTATTAGCAGAATTAGCATAACTGAGTAATGTTCATAGCCAAGGTAATAAGCTCTGGCATGTTAAGACTGAGGGGTTTTGTTTGGTTTTTAGTGTCACTTTCTGCCAACTTTGTGTCTCTTTCTTCCACTCTATTAAAAAACAAAACTAGCACTTATTCATTCCACTCTCCTCACTGAGAAAGCCACATGGTGCCTCGCATGGTCCCATCCAACTCCACGGGTTGTATAGCCAGTCCCTAGACAGAACACAGGTGGTGGCGTTGTGAAAAGTAAAGAGGAGGGTTAGTTTCATTTGGTTTGTGCTTTGCTCCAGGGACAGAACCCTTGCTGGAACTTGAACTGGAAGCAACTCAGAACATTTGGATAAATTAGATGAATCATGGCCACACCTGTAACCTAAGAGCATGCCAGCCATGAAACATGCCCCTGGGGCTGAGTGGACTGGCCTCCAACCACATACAAAATGAGGTCCCGTCTCTAAATTGAAAATTCTCCCTCTACACTCTGTGACCAACAGTCATTGCAGTTACCATTTTGAATCTTAATTGGCTGCTTCTCCCACTGAATCCTACCCTTTAGGGAAAAACTGTTGCTTATCTTTGTATCCCAGTACCTTGCACATTGTCTTACACATGGAAAATGCCTCGTAAATATTTGCTGAATGAATTAAAGAGGCTTAATATTAACATTGAATATTATTTGAGTACACTAGAATTGCCTGCCCTCCCCGCACATATGATTATAGATGTACGCAAGTGCACTAAGGATGGATTGCATAGCAAGAAAATGGAAGGGCAGGACAGGAGACTTGGAAACATTTAGAACCTAGCTTTTTTTTTTTTTTTTTTAAAGATTTTATTTATTTTATTTTTTTCCCCCCAAAGCCCCAGTGGATAGTTGTATGTTGTAGCTGCACATCCTTCTAGTTGCTGTATGTGGGACTCGGCCCCAGGATGAACGGAGAAGTGGTGCCTCGATGCGCACCCGGGATCCGAACCCGGGCCACCAGCATCGCAGCGCGCGCACTTAACCACCAAGCCACAGGGCCGGCCCAGAACCTAGCTTTTAAAGTGTACTCACTATTGTGTTTTCCTCCTTACCTCAATCCTCCAAACTAGGAAACACGGATCTAAATGCCTTGTGCACTGCAAAATGGGAGTGAGTCGCTCAGCCTCTACTGTGATTGCCTATGCAATGAAAGAATATGGCTGGAATCTGGACCGAGCCTATGACTACGTGAAGGAAAGACGAACAGTGACCAAGCCCAACCCCAGCTTCATGAGACAACTGGAAGAGTACCAGGGGATCTTGCTGGCCAGGTGAATCCTTAAGTGACTTTCTCAGATTTTCCCTCCTTTATGCTCCCGAGGGCAAGGTGAAATGTTCTTCTCTGCAGCTAGTTCTCAGCCTAGTTTGGATGTGTGATACATTTTGAAAATTGAAATCTCTATCAATCCAGTTTTTAAAAAACAAGTACAAGCATTTAAGATTAGCACGGAAGATTAGGCATTTAATCTAAACTAAAGATACTTAAAGGGTGGAAATACTGTTCCCTTATTTCAGTTCTCAACTAGGTGCAGATTTTAATAAATGCTTCTCAACATCTTCTAAGGCCAGATGTGGCTGCCTTATCAAAATGGATACTGATTGCTCCCAAGGTAATGCGAAGTGTAGCTGAAATTTTTAGAAAGTTTTTGGCCCATTCTTTTCAAAAAAAGAAGAGTACCTGTGCTGCTTTGGGCATTATTTTTTTCAGTGCTTCGTTTCACTGAGCCCCCTCCAGTAATTTCGGTCATGTGGCAAATCAGCAGAATTGGGATATATATAACCCCTTTGACGTATGAAGTGCTTCCCAGAAATAGCTGTTTTCTTTTTTAAAATCTTTAATTCAATTTTATATATATGCTTTGTAAAAATGCAGAAAATTACAAAGGGAAATATCATTTATAAACTCAATACCCATAGATAGCAGTTGACATTGTCTTACCTATTTCTCCAGGTCTTACTCTTACCACATATATTGATGGATATTTTTTCACAGAGACTCTTTTCAGCCTACCTCTTCACCCAATACTAGGTCTTTTTTTCTCTTTCTCAACTGTAGAAACATTTATTGGCACTTACACTACACTTAACCATCACTGTTCCTAAAGTTGCCCCCCAACTTTATTGAGATATAATTGACATATAACATTGTGTAAATTTAAGGTATACAATGTGTTGATTTGATACATTTATATATTGCAAGCTGGTTACCACCATAGCATTAGCTAAAACCTCCATCCCTTCACGTAATTACCGTTTCTTTTTTTGTGGTAAGAACATTTAAGATCTCTCTTAGCAACATTGAAGTGTATGATACAGTATTATTAGCTATAATCACCATACTGTACATTAGATCCCCAGAACTTGTCAATCTTATAACTGGAAATTCAGACCCTTCGACCAGTATCTCCCCATTTCCCCCAACCCCCACCCCTGGTAACCACCGTTCTATTCTGTTTCTCTGAGTTCGACGTTTTTAGATTCCACATATAAGTGATACCATACAGTATTGTCTTTCTCTGTCTACTCACTTCTAGATCTTGAACATCTTTCTATATCAATAAGAACTAGCTGTTTCAGCAATAATTTAGTAATTGGTTATAAAATGAGTAATTAATTTCACTATGTTATTTATTACCCCTTTGGTGAAAACCACCGTCAGCTGCTCTTGGGAAAAAGATTCAGATATTAAATGAGATTTAAGAATCAGTTTCCTGAGATGCCACGTGCTGAAGTTCTGTAGAATGCTAGGTTTTGCTTTGTTTTTTCCACGTAGGCATGTTCTAGGTTTTGTTAGAGTGAACGCACAGCTGCCTAGAAGCAGTTGGGGCTGGTGCTGGAGTTTGACTCCAGTGAGTCCCATGACTTGGTCTTGACCCTTGAATCTGGGCTGTGTTTCTCCTGAACAAAATGTTAAATAGCCTTCCAGCCTATCCAGGCAGAGGGACCAACCTCCCACCCCGAAGTATTGTGAAAATGCAGCCACAGCATAGCATTATGGTTTCCACTAAAAAAAACCCCGCCCATTTACTCAGTTCTTGGCATAATTTCATCTGAGCCGTTCTCTTAGAAGGCTGGGAGGATACTCAAGTCTCCTCCACTTAAAAAGAATTTATGGGTCCTTGCGGCCAGGTTTTGATGACATTTTTAGATTAGATCAGAAGGTAGGACACAGCAGTGCTTTTTGGCACAAGAAAGAGGCATCTGAGGGTTGGATGAGACATAAATATTGTATATTCCCAGACACACACATGATGACGGATGTTAGGCAGTGTCCTCACGTGACCCATCGAGAGGAAGGATACTATGTGTCCTGCCAATTTCAGTATTTATTCTGGAATCCCAGGCTACTGCAAGCTGTTGGGTTCGGTTTTTTTAGCATATGTGGTTTTTCTTAGATGTTAAAGGAATTTCAGAAAAATCTTAGATGAGAATAAGAAGGGCAGCATAAACCCATAAATCACCCTGCCTCTTCCCTTTCGGTTCCATCCTGCCTTCCTGTGCTTGATTCATGGAGGGAGGGGCAAGCCCTGGGGAGTGAGAAAACCACAGAATTTGAGTCAGTAGATCTGGTTTCTGATCCCGGTTCACCCCCTTGCTGCAGCTTTGAGAAGTTGCTTTACAATTCTGATCCTCACCTGACCCCATCTATAAAATGAAAATCAAGAGCCCTACCTCACAGGGTTATTGTCAATAAAAATGTGTATAAATGTATGTTATGTACTGTTAAGGGTTATTCAGATGTAATTCTCGTTATCTCCTTCCTCCGTAGCTACCCAGAAAACACACATATGCATATGCCATTTATGTCTTCCTCCTTCCTCCAACCACTGCCTCCCACCACCCACAGACACACTAACTACATTAGAAACTGGAATGGGAAGTGATCCTGGAATTTCCTGTGTTGTGATGTTTCCTGGGTTTTAAGAACTAGAATATAGTACTGGGGGTATCACATAGGCTGCTTTCAGCTGCAAGTAATAGAATACCCCCATCAATCAGGATCTCAACAAGAAACGGCATATTCAGGTTAGGATTGAGGAGGGTTTTATAAAGTAACTATGTACAAAGGTGTGGGGTTGTAGTGCAATCAAGGGACTTATATCTGCAGAGCTGGTTTGATAATAGCTCTTAGGCCCAAAGAGGGAGGGAGACTTCTGGAGAGAAAGGTACCTTCAGAGAGGAGCAATAACCTTCAGTCAAGGGACACATCCAGCCTGAAGTGACCCTGTGGGAAGGAGCTAGGGGAATAAATGGGCTGCCTTCACTCTCCTCCTTGCAGTCTCCTGCTAGGGCTCCCCATTAGCCAAACCCTATGGAAGTTTGAAGACAAGGAGGCCTGTTGATGTTGTCCATAGATCAGCCTCTAGGGCAGAGAGCAGGGTGGAAAAGCTGAAGAGTGGATCTGCAGGGGCAAAGAGAAGACCTCTAGCCCAACACCCAGCTATAGGTAGTTTAAAAAGTTGGACCATTTAACATCTCTTGTAACAAAAATCACAGAAGTAGACTGTAATGGCTCAGTGATGTAATCAGGGACTTCAGTGCTCTACCTTCCTTAGTTAATGGCTTGATCCTTGAACACATTTCCTCATGATTGCCAGATGTCTGCCACATTTCTAGGCATCTACATGTAAATTCCACAGCATCTGGCTGAATGAATGGGCATTTCAGAAAGGGAGAAGACCGTTCCCAGAAGCTCCCCAATAGACTCCCCACCGTAGAACTCATTGGTCCAGGACTGGGTCGCATGCCTAAAAACTAATCACTGGCCAGGAAAATAGAATTTCCTGGACTGGCTAAAACAAATTCACATTCACCCTCTGGATCTAGGGAAGTGCCACATTCCCTGAACCCATGGGACAGTGAACACCCAAAGTAAATCAGGCCTCTGCCAGTAAGGAAAAAGAGTGAGAGTGCCTCCTGGGTATACAGCCATTAGGGTCTGTGATCTATGATGTATTGTCAAGAAACAGCACTTGCAGGCTACCTGCCAACCTAACTGCCAAGTGAATTGGGCCCCGCAGACTCTTGCCCAGCTCTGGAGTACTGCTCCAGGATCTGCTTGCTTAGAAGAGCAAAGGAGGAGAAGCCCCAGACTCCTGTGACTGTCTGAAGCTCTGTCAAGCCTTGCAGCTTAAGTGACCGGGAGAGGAAAGTCCTTAGAAAAATTCTAGTCATTCTGTTCGCAAAAAAAAGTCCATTTCATGTCCAGGTGCTTAGATCTTATATTTCATATCCTCTCCCAGGAAACATGTGCAGATTTTTCCAAAGAGATAGAGCCCTGATTCTAGCATTCTCTAGCCCCATGGTTGTCCAGGGTGGCACTAGTGGCTTAACTAGAGGTGGCAGCCCTCTGAGAGTGTTAGCTTGTTACTTTAACCTCTTGATAGAAGTTTACCAGAGTGACACCAGGTCCCCTTAGTGATTTGTGAATTAGTTATGTCTCTTAATCAGGATGTGAGGGGTGGGCCAAATAGTGACACCCCCTCTGAAATACAGGGGACATTCTGCATCTTTCATTATGTCTTTAAAGAGCCTAGGGAAGGCTAATATTTAATATTCTCCTTTAGACCTGAAAGGGAGGGTATCATAAAGCCACTGATACTGTTCGTATCTATCTTATATTTTCTGTTTTTATAGCTGGGGGATGGGAGTGAGGCAGGAGGAGATGTGTGTGTGTGTTGAAACCCTCCGTTCAACTGCCAGCAGCCCTGTTTGTTATTCTGCACTCTGATCATGCAGGTATCTGGCAGATTTATGTTCCATTAGACAAGTTCAGATTTCAGGCATTTGCAAGCCGGACCATGTGTCTGTGATATTAGGTTCCAGTGTATAAGGAGCAAGGAAGAAAAACTGGGTGGTGGCCAGGGAAAATTTGTGCCACATGTCCTCATAGATGTCACTTTTAATTCTTTGACACCCCTGTCACTGAGGCCAGAGGAGGCAGAGTTGTCTCTTACCCTGGCTTTGCTGGTGGAGACATTGAAGTCTAGTTAGCTGGTCCAAAGTGGTCAGCCAGCAGGAGGGAACCCAAGAATGAGAGGACATGGATTCCTGGTCAGGTGACAGCCAATCACAAGTGAGGTTTAAAGGATTTTCTTCTTTTCTTTTTTTTTTTTGGTGAGGAAGATCAGCTCTGAGCTAACATCCATGCCAATCCTCCTTTTTTTGCTGAGGAAGACTGGCCCTGGGCTAACATCCGTGCCCATCTTCCTCCACTTCATATGGGACGCCACCACAGCATGGCCTGACAAGTGGTGCATCGGTGCGCGCGCACTTAACCGCTATGCCATGGGGCCGGCCCCTAAAGGATTTTCTTAATAGCTTTTCAGTGAAATAATTTTAAGGCATTTAGGACCATGCACAGCACACAGAATTGCTCAATTGATGCTTTTTCTCTTCCTCCTCCTCCTTTCTGCAGGCTGCCTAACGCCCTAAGAAGTAACCATAAACAGTCTGATTTTACTATAACTGATACTCCATGTTTAGCAGTATTTTCCTCTGTATAACTTTCTCAAACAGACTTGGTGCTTATATACCAAACATGAAACAATAAGAAAGCAAGTGGAGGCAAGAGAATGGGATGTCATATGCATGTTGTCATTTAGATTTCCTTCTTGTTCATTTACTAAGTAAAAGGCCAAATTCTTACCCAGAATGGCCCAATCATCTCATGTGTGTCAGTGTGTTTATCTGAATCCAAATTCAGGTCAGAGGCCACTCCAGGGGAAAAAGAATTCGAGACTTGGTTGCATCATCTAGGCCACAAACCAACTCTGAAGTTCTTTTTGGCAAGTTATTTACTTGCTGCCTATCTGGAATAGGTGGGGAGAGTCAGCTGAATATAAACATTAACAGTTTAAAATAATAAATATGATCTAATGTCTTACATCTATCGCTACCAGTGATGGAGCGTTAAAAAAACTGGCTTGCAAAAAAGCCTCATTGGTGGGCCGGCCCCGTGGCTTGGCGGTTAAGTGCGTGCGCTCCGCTGCTGGCGGCCCGGGTTCGGATCCCGGGTGTGCGCCGACGCGCCGCTTCTCCGGCCATGCTGGGGCCGCGTCCCACATACAGCAACTAGAAGGATGTGCAGCTATGACACACAACTATCTACTGGGGCTTTGGGGGGAAAATAAATAAATAAAATCTTTAAAAAAAAAAAAAAAAAGCCTCATTGGAAAATAGTTTGATGTTACTGAGTAAAACTGATGATGCATCCATGCCCTATGACCCACCTTTTCCATTTCTATATATAACACCTTCAAGAAACTAAAGTGTGCACCAGGCACAAGAATGTCCATAACATTAGTGTTTGTAATAGCCAAAACTGTTGATCAACAGGATGGATAAATAAATTGTGGCATCATTACACTTTATGCAATTATAGCTACACACGTCAATGAATCTTAAAAACATAATGTTAGGCAAAAAAGCATTTGTAGAAAATATACTGTGTGATTTCATCTATATAAAGTTCAAAACATGCAAAACTAAGCAGTATATTATTAAGAACAACACATATGATGACACTATTAAAAAAAAAAAAGAAAAGGAATGATAAGCAGAAAATTCAGGACAGAGGTTAATAACCCCTGAGGGAGGAGGTGGGGGGAGGGGATCAGGAAGGAGCACAGGGAGTAGCAGTGCTTCAAAGGCCATGGTAATGAATATCTTGACTATATCAGCCAGCTGCCTACCACTCTCCCTGCAGGTCCTACTGCAAAAATGAAAAAGGCAACAGAATCAGACCTTTCTTTGGATTGGGATTTTTTTCTTTCTCCTTTGTAGGTGTCAGTTTAATTCCAGAACCCTGACTCAATGTTTTCTGATGATTATCTCTCCCAGGAAGAGGAGGAAATCCCTGCTGGGCAAAGCAGCTATGATGTCAGCCACTTCTTCTGAAACCTGCGCTGTTTGTACCTATTAGCATAACCTCACTCTCTCATTCCTTCCTGATTGATTACTGATTTCTAGGCAGTTTAAAAAATCATACTTTGGTGGGTTCTTGGGATTTTGAAAACATCTCGTTTGTCTGTAGCCTGATAAGATAAGCTGTTCCTTTATATTATTACAAGGGTGAGAACAGCTACTCTCTGAGATGTTGTCCTAGTCATTTGTATCACAAGAATTGTCCTGCCCTGGTGGCTGAGAGGAGTTGGTGCAGGTTTGAACATCCTCATGATAGGTGAGGGATAGAAATTGGAGAACACAGTCATATTTAGGTCAGGAAACAGGGTGTCTAGATATAAAAGAAGAAACTAAAAGGAAGCACATTGGCATCAGTTGGTCACAATGTCCAGTTTAGATCCCACCTATCCAACCAGCCAGCTTGCCCCTCCCCACAGCCACTCACTCCTTTGGGATGTGTGATATGTTGTCTCCTCCTAGGGGTGGCTGGAGTTTGTGCAGCTTAGAAAGGGTAAAAACCCTACCTTATACCCAATTGCTTATAGCTTGTTTTCATAAACAGATTGACCTGCTCCCTGCCCGAAAAGCACCCTTCTGCTATGCAGGCCTGAGTCAGAGAGAGCCCCACCCAAACAGCAGACAGGCAGGGGGAGCTGAGAGCAGGTGCAGAGTTGAGAACAAGCAGGGGTTCACATTAGTGCAGGCCCATGACTCAGCAGAGATTCACAAGCAGCCGAGGCAGGCGTGGCCCTGAGCCCAGGGTAAGTTGTTTTGGGCTGTTTCCCATTCCACCCTGCGGTTAGGTAACTTTTCATCACCTTGTAAGTCATGGAAAACACACCCCTAAATGCCACATTTAACGACCTGCTCCCTGGGCAGGTGATCTGGACCAGCCACAGGGCCACCTTTCTCTTTTTTTGGCTGGGGCTTTGGGAACTGTTTCCTTGTTAGAGAGTGTGGTTTGAAATGAAATCTCTCATCCCCACATCAGACCTTCTCTCCATAAAATAAACCAAAAGATGGATGTGTGTGTGGTCTTCCTTTGGCTCACCTGCTTTTCCAGGTGTCACCTTAGCTTGATGGTTTTTATCCAGAGATCTGTGTGAAAGGGGCTTGTACTTTATGCTCATCCTCTTCCATTCTGTTATCAACCTTTTTCTCCAGATTTACTAGCTTCATCTTTGCTTTCTAATTCAGGAAAGATTACCGCCCTCCTCACACTTCCACATCAGTGATTAATCGTATATCAGCTCTTCATCCCAATTATGAGGACTTGTAATGGGCTCCAATAGAGTATGTCTCTTTGTATTACTTGGATACTGTTTTGTTTTAGTTTTCTTTTTCTGGTTGTTAATGTTAAAGATGCTCATTATTTTAAAAATTCAAAAATTATGGAAATACAGAGTATAGAAAGTAAAGCCCTCCCCAGAAGTATTTCTGCCTTCTTTGAAAGAAACACTGTTACCAGTTTGGTGACGTTCCTCCAGGTATTTTCCTATACTTATTCTCACATGGGAACTGACCATTCCAAATGTGTTCAACATGCTTTTTCACTTAATGGTATACCTTGGACATCATTCCACTAAAATACCTGACTGTTTTTAACAGCCTCATAGAAAATATATAGGTATAGGGACTGTAATTTAAATAAATCCTCTTTTTTTTGGTATCTGATTTTTTAGTACCACAGCGTTACAGTAAACATTCTTATATGTATATCTTTGTGCACTTATAGTAGTATTTCTCCAAGAAAAAATCTTAAAGGAAGATTTTCTGGTTAAAGGGTTAAATTTTGAGAGCTATTGCCCGATTTCACTCTTACAAATTCTACAGTTCGCATTCCTACCACCTGTATATGAGAGGGCTTGTTTGGCCATACATCATCAACACCAGCTGTTAGCAACCATGTTAGCTCTTGTCAGTCTGATAGGTAAAATATCAGATTTCATATTTGTTTTTGTTGTTCTGCTTTGTTTTTTGCTATTGGTTAAATTGAGCATCTTTTCAAATGTTTATTGCCTACTTCCATTGGGCATTAACAAAGCATTTGGCAGGTTAAGATAAACTTAAGATTTAAGTTTATCTGGGAGCAATTTCCTGGGTGGGTGTTGATTGTTCTCACAAACCAGAGTGAAGTGTTTCCTGTGTGTGTTCTCCACAGCAAACAGCGGCATAACAAGCTCTGGAGATCTCATTCAGATAGTGACCTCTCAGACCACCACGAGCCCATCTGCAAACCAGGGCTAGAACTCAACAGGAAGGAGATCACCACTTCAGCAGACCAGATTGCTGAGGTGAAGACCATGGAGAGTCACCCACCCATATCCCCTGTCTTTGTGGAACATGTCGTCCCACAAGATGAAAATCAAAAAGGCCTGTGTACCAAAGAAACAGTGATCTGCTTGGAGTTTACTTCTAGGGAATTACATGCCGGACAGATTGAAGATGAATTAAACCTAAATGACATCAATGGATGCTCATCAGGATGTTGTCTCAATGAATCAAAATTCTCTCTTGACAACTGCCATGCATCCAAAGCCTTAATCCAACCTGGACAGGCCCCAGAAATGGCCAAGTTCCCAGACTTAACGGTTGAAGATTTGGAGACAGATGCTCTGAAAGCAGACATGAACGTCCACTTACTGCCTATGGAAGAATTGACATCTCGCCTGAAAGATCTCCCCATGTCCCCTGACCCTGAGTCACCAAGCCCTCAACCCAGTTGCCAGGCTGAAGTCTCAGATTTCAGTACAGATCGCATTGACTTTTTTAGCGCCTTAGAGAAGTTTGTAGAACTTTCCCAAGAAACCCGGTCCCGATCTTTTTCCCACTCAAGAATGGAGGAACTGGGTGGAGGAAGGAGTGAGAGCTGTCGTCTGTCAGTGGTAGAAGTAGCTCTTCCTGAAGTGACGACTGATGACCAGAGAAGCAGCTCTTTGAGTAATACTCCCCATGCATCTGAAGAGTCTTCAATAGATGAGGAACAGTCAAAGGTAAAAACTGTCTTGATAGTTCTCCACCTAATGAAGTTCTCTCTGAAGACAAAATATTTGGGATTTTGCTATGTTCACTTTAGTTTTGATGTTGCTAAAGATTTAGGAAGGCAGTATAGGAGAGACAGTCTGACTGAGACTTTCCTTGAAAACAGAGTTTAAATATTTTTTACATCAGTTTCCTTTTGAGAAATTTATCTTTCCAGGTATTGGTGTCATTGGAAGCACTTCTGAGAGGGGATGAGGACCTACACACCGCTCATCAAGCCATGCTGTGGCAGCATCCCTCATACAAAATAGAGGAAGATTGGCACAGATATTAGCTCAGGGCCAATCTTCCTCACCAAAAAAAAAAAAAATTACCATATATCATCAATTCTAAGACTCGTTTATTCTCATTTTGATGCTTCTGAAATTGGGATGCATCTTAAAAACAGTGATATCTTAGATCAATATAATACAGCAGTTGGGAAGTAAACGGTGACAGATTTACTTTAATATACAAACTTTACTTAATGATTTCAGTGGAGCTGACTAGATTCTTGATATCTCTGGACGTTTAGCTACTTATATTTACCACCTTGTCCATTACTCATCTGTTCTCTCTCTTCTTAACTACCCCAGGGCAATCATTGCCTCTGCTTCTGTCTTCTCCTCTCCCCAAAGGCTATGCTTCTGTTTCATTTCTACTGGAAAATCAGAATGCTCGAGCTCTCCTTTGGACCAATGGGTGTGACAGCTCTGACAGAAATAGTTTTTCTGCAAAGTCCCTGGTCATATGAGTACTCTCTCCACAGCCCATGCACACAGCAGGCCTGCTGTGGCTTCTCTCCCAGTCTTGGCAAATTTGCCTCTGCCTAATGTCCCAGCAGATTTCTCCCAAAGGCATAACTGACCTTGTTAGTTTCTACTAGCTCTGACTCTCTTTTGAAGGAGAAAGACTGGAACAACTCCTAGGGAAATAGTATACTTCAAAGGCTTATAAAAATGTTAACAAAGTAGATTGATGATCATAGTGATGCCACTTTAAGAGGTGTCCCAGGGCCATTTCCAGATTTTGAAATTCTTGTTGTTTTACAGTAGGGCTTGATTTTTGCATTAGCCAATTTTCTTTGGCCTTGTTCTAAATCCATCTGGGAATTTGTAAGTGGTGGAACAGTAAAATGTCAACGAGTCACAGTTGCTAAGTTTGATCAGGCACATGACTGCCTAAGCCAAGTGAACCTTTCTCAGAAGGAGCCATGTGAAACTTAGGGATTGTGCAATCAGGTACTGAGTGCCCTCCTGTGCTGGGATGCTGCTACTGGGAGAAGCAGTGGGAGTAAATGGATGCACATTGGCAAGGCAAGAGAAAAGAAAGCAGTGAGTCTCCAAATCAGACATCAGATGATAGCCTCATCCATCATGCCATGTGCATACTGAAGGTGGCCAGAGCCCTTAAATGGAACTCTTTCCCTCGAACTAGGTTAGGATCAAACTAGAAGTTGATAGGCCAAAAAAGAAAGGTTTCATTTACCCCAGTATGGCCTAAATCCTTAAGACTCATGGTCCTAGGAAAATAAGGATTACAGGAGCCTCCAAGGCTAGTCACTGTTCATTTTTAGAGCAAGATATTGGATTGGAATGCTGTTTGAGTAAGCAGAACAGAAAGTTTAATAGACAGTGATACAACCTGTAACTAATTTTGTATCTCTGCCTTTGATGAATCTGTTTTTGTCTTTTTTTTTTTTTAATTTTTTGTTTATTGCAGTAACATTGGTTTATAACATTGTAAAAATTTCAGGTGTACATCATTGTACTTCTATTTCTGCATGGACTACATCATGTTCACCACCAAAATACTAATTACAACCCATCACCACACACATGTACCGAATTATCCCTTTCACCCTCCTCCCTCCCCCCTTCCCCTCTGGTAACCACCAATCCAATCTCTGTCCCTATGTGTTTGTTTATTGTTGTTATTATCTACTACTTAATGAAGGAAATCATACGGTATTTGACCTTCTCCCTCTGACTTATTTCACTTTGCATTATACCCTCAATGTCCATCCATGTTGTCACAAATGACTGGATTTCATCGTGTTTTTGTCTTATATGACAAAACAGGTAGTCAGATTACAGTCCCAGGCAAAGGACAGTCCCAGGCACTCCATTATTTGTGTCCTCATAGCCAGAACGTTCTCCTGGATTAGAGGATTAGTAAGCACAAAAATCTAGCATTTTTTATTAGACTACAGTTTTTCATAACTATCCCACTATTTTCTCTTCTTAGGCAGTCTCAGAACTGGTCAGCCCCGATGTTTTCATGCAGTCTCACTCAGAAAATGCAATTTCAGTCAAAGAAATCGTCACTGAGATTGAATCCATCAGTCAAGGAGTCGGACAGATTCAACTGAAAGGAGACCTCCTATCCAACCCATGCCATACACCAAAGAAGCACACTGTCCATGAGCTGCCCCTTGAGAGGGCACAGGTCCTGGAGAGCAAACCTGGAAATCTGGAGCAGAATGAGGGTTCCTGCACAGCCCAGCCCGAACCAGCCAAAGACTCAGGGAAGTGGGACCCAGATGGCTGCCTAACCACACACTCATTCACCTCAGAGTTGGAAGAAGAGGAACCAGCTGAGGGGGAGCAAGAGCTCTGGGGCCCAGGGATGCACCCAGGTGCCAAGTGGTGCCCTGGGTCCGTGAGGCGAGCCACCTTGGAGTTTGAGGAGCGCTTAAGGCAGGAGCAAGAGCACCATGGTGCTGCCCCTGCTTGTACCTCATTGTCCACTCGCAAGAATTCCAAGAATGATTCTTTGGCAGACCTAGCACCAAAAGGGAAGAGTGATGAAGCCACCCTAGAACATTCATTTGTTCCCAAGGAACCAGAGATGAACAAGGGCAAAGGGAAATGCATTGGGTCTGAAGCTGGCTCACTACCCCATTCTGAGCAAAATGCCATTGTTCCAGCACCTGAGCTGCTGGAGTTTCACCCCTTGCCAGCTCCTCAGGAGGGCCCAGTGTCAGATACTAGAACAAAGCTGGAAGGAGTTGTGAAGGAGCAGGGGACTGTGGTTTCATGCCAGGGATCTGAGACACAGGCAGTCCCTCTTCCCCTTCCCAAGAAGATAGAAATCATTGAGTATACCCACACAGTTACATCACCCAGTCACACTGGGCCAGCGGGTGACATAGCCACCAGTGAAAAGAGTGGGGAGCAAGGACTGAGGAAAGTGAAAGTGGAGAAGTCCATCACTGTCCTCTGTGCACTGGATGAAAATCTGAACAGGACTCTGGACCCCGACCAGGTTGCTCTGCACCCCGAAGTGCTACCTCTGCCTCATTCTTCCTCTCCTGAGCACAATAGGCCCACCAACTCGACCTCCACGCTGAGCAGCCCCAAAGACTGGGGCAACAGCCCAGCAACAGCCCTGAAGACAGCAGCACCTTTTGTTAGTCACACAACCCACGTACCATCTGCCAACTTGGATTACCTGCATCCCCAGACCGTGGTTCATCTGCAAGGCTTCACAGAGCAAAGCAGCACCACAGACAGTGAGCCCTCTGCAGAGCGGGGTAGCTGGGTGGGAAGTCAGGAGGGTCCCCTCTCCAGTGGCAATGAAGTGCCATACAAGGGCTCCCAGTTAAGTAGTGAAGACCTAAGTTTAAATAGCAAACTTGGTGACAAGATTAGGGAGTTACAAGAAAAACTGGACCCATCACCTGTAGCCTGTCGACTCCCACATAGCTCTAGTAGTGACAATGTACAGGGTCTCAGCCACAGCCCCAGTGTGGTAAAAGAGCACGCTAAAGAAATCAAGTCCCAAGCCATTTGCCAGGTAGGGCTCACCAAACCATCCCAAATGAGGCGTTCAGCTTCCCTCGCCAAGTTAGGTTACTTGGACCTCTGTAAAGACTGTCTACCGGAGAGGGTGCCTGTCTCCTCTGAGTCCCCTCATCTCAAATTGCTTCAGCCCTTCATCAGAACAGACTCAGGCATGCATACCGTGGAGGCCCAGGAGCCCCCAGAAAACTCAGATGCCTCCCAGAACCTAGAGCCCACCAAGTATTTTGTAGAGCAACTCAAAACAGCAGAGTGTATTGCACAGAGCAAGCCAGTGGAAAGGCCCCTTGTGCAGTATGCCAAAGAATTTGGTCACAGTCAGCAGTGTTTGCTCCCCAGGGCAGGACCTGAATTGACTAGTTCTGAAGGAGGCCTTCCTTTGCTACAGACCCAGGGACTGCAGTGTGCAGGCCCAGCTCCAGGGCTGGCTGTGGTGCCCCGTCAGCAGCACGGCAGAACTCACCCCCTTAGGAGACTGAAAAAAGCAAATGATAAAAAACGGACAACGAACCCCTTCTATAATACCATGTGATTCTGAGCCTACACGTGTGACTTTCTAAAAGAAATGTTTGTAAAAGGGGCAGGTGTAATATATAAGGAACATGCACTTTATTGGTTAATTTTATAATATTTTTGTCATTTTACTGTTCTGGCGCATGCAGGGTTTGGGTTTTTTTCTGTGTGTGTGTGAAAGAGAAAGATTGATTTGGACGGCAAGACCATTTTATCATTTTTTATTTTTAGAAAATTGAAACCTCAAAAAAGACTCATTTTCAAAGAACACCTTTATCAAAGGCAAATTGCTGTTTTTCAGTCAACTGCCACCTGCTCCTCATTTTGCCCTCTGAGAAAAGGCATGCTTGCCTGATTGAAGAAGGAAGCAGATGGGGAGGGTGGGGATGAAGCTGGAAATTGGAAATGCTCCCTGGGCCTGTGTGATGATGGTTTGGTCTCCAGACCTGATGCATTGGATGGGCTGAAGGGCAGCCAGACGGCAGAGTGCTTTCAGCCAGCCCATTGGAGTTCCTGAAGTGGGCAGGTTCTTTGCTTTCAAAGGGGGTCTTCCAGAATCCATTTCTTCTCGTATTCCAGAGTATATCATTACAGAAAGACATGATAATGGCTGGCTTTCTAAACTTATCAAGCAAATCGGTTTTTTCCAAGCAAATAATTTTTAATTAAATTAAAAGTGAACCCCCCCTAAATGAAATCTGAGAGGTCCTCTGTAGAGGAAAGCATAAGAGAAGGAGGCCGTTAAGTCGGGGTTGGAGAGGTTGCTGCCCAGTATCTTCTGGGTCACTGGGCTCCCCACAGGTGGTCATCCTGGCCCTCCAGCCAGGAAACGTGCTCTGCAGCATCCTCTCAACCAAAACACAGTAGGGACAAGTTTGAAAAACAGCAATTGAAAGTCAGTGTGTTCTTATAAAATGAATACATATGTAGGGTTTTAACCCTTCCATTACTTGAATAATTCTGTGGGCCTTCTAAGTTTAACGGCCATATTTTTTTCCAATTTATTTTCCTCCCTCATGCTGTTTCTCCCAGTGCTGCCTTTTTTTTTTAATTTCATAGATGATCTTTGAATTGTTACATATGTATAACCTCCATTGAATGCAAAGTTTTCTTTTCTATACTATCACTGTTAACACTTGACATAAGTTCTTTTTTCTTTTCCTGGAAGATTTGTCATTTCTCTAGTTATACACAGTATTTATGTACATAATGTTGACACTTTCTTACAATGTTTTGTTGTTGACGTTGTAGGGTCTTTTTGATTTATTCTTAAGAAGGAGTAAAGATGCAACTGGAAAACACACAGATACCACAGACATCAAACTGCTGGGTGTTGGTAGGAATCTGCAGAGTATATTGATGGTGGTTTTAATTGTTTAAATGGAGACTAATCACCAGCTCCTGCCAAATTATGTGTTAGTAACTTCCTCCTCAGAGAAACCCCTAAAGGCTCCCATTAGATCACAGTTTGACTGAAGGCTGATTGCTCTTTGAGACTGAAATCCCAGAACGTTATTTGCCCATAGCTAAACCACAGCCAGGGAGTGTGTACGGGTGTTCCTGCTGCCCAGGGTGGAAGCTCCTAATGGATTAGGCTGAAAAGCTGCAGGGAGGCCTTGGCCAAGGGCAGACACCCTTAATGATTCCATTCAGGATGCTGTAGCTTTGCTGCTATTGTGGAGATCCTTAACACAGGAGCACCTGCCACAAGCCTATTTCAGCTTCTTACAGAAAGCATATTTAGCCTGGAATGAAACACCCTGTGCAGCTCCTCACAACTGAAGAGGTCTGCAGATTTGCTTTCTGTTTGCTTTGGTTGATGTCCACATTGCTGAGAGATTGACGGAGTACAGACTTGAGATTTAGGTTTTTGGTTCATCACAGCACTGAGAGGAAAAGACAGATACACAAACTGTCAAGGTGATGTCAGAGGCAGGAGTTTGGTGGGGGCAGGTAGCAGGGTGACCCAAAGGAGAGAGAAAAAGTGAACTGAGGCCACTCAGGTGCTCAACAGGAGCTATGAATCCAGTTGCCGTAGAAGCCATGCTTGGGTCTGACATCACTGCCAGGAGGTGGATTGGACAGAAACTTGCTATAAGTGTCTTTGTGGTGTAGTAATTATATGTACTTGTGCTATCCCTAAATAGTTTCCTTAAATGTTGAAATGTATCATCCACACAGCTTTGTGATTCCTGGATATTTAATGTGTTGTAAAGTGTTTTGTTAGGTGGTACGTACCAGTGTGAGGAGGCTTGCAAGACAGGGTTATGAATTTCCAGGGCTCATCCATCTAAACTGCCCTGTCTTGTTGAGGCAGTTCCACCACCAATATGATGGGGAAGGGATAGGAAATAGTGGCAGGGGTGGGGAGAGGAGAATTTGCATGGAAGTGAAGAGCGGGGTCTCCACTCCTGTTAACCCCTGGAGATGGCAACATCCCTCACATTACGAAGTACGAGCAAGATCAACAGTATGGCACTGTTCTCCCTCCTCCCCTGCCACTGTGTTTAATGCTCACTCTCACGGCATTAAATAACAGCAAAGATGGGGAGGAAACCCTCTAATGCTGTGAAGAAAAACAAACTTTTTTTTTTAAAGAGTAGAGGAAACGGTCTTGCTCTGCCTTCCTTTTTTTAACTTTTTTTTTTTTTTTTTGATCATTTAATTTACCTGGCTAAATAAACATTCTCTACACAGGGTCTGTAATTCAGTTCAGCCATGCCATGGGGTTTTGCCAGCCCTCTCAAACTCCCACAACTGAGTGTCTTTATGTTATTTACATAACAGCGAGATGTCTGAGGAAAGTGTATGATCAGCTGTCAAGGACTTTCCAGATTTTCTTCAAACTTTTTGATAATCTCAGGTGGCCTGTTTCCCATTTCTGTTCATGGAACACCCAGACCCAGAACAGCAGGTCTAGTAGATTGACAGAGATGAATAGAAGTCTTGACCTCTTAGTGCCTCTCTTTAGCTTTATTTTGAAAACCACCATAGTCTGACTCTAAATTACTCTGGAGAAGTGTGTGTGTGTGTGTGTGTGTAAAAAGAGTAACGTTTTGGTGCGTGGGGTAGGAGCCCCAGGAGCACACAGGATTTGAGCTGTAATCTGGGTGGTTACCTGGTCAGTAGGAAGGAGAGAAACCCCAACCCTTTCTTGATTTTAGAAACACTTGGGGGTAGTGTATACTGTAGTAGACATGTAGTACTGCAGTGGAGTAACATTCTTCTCTCCTCATTTTGGTTGCCGTTCAGATTCTGAATGTTTGGGATGATTCCTAGCATCTCAGCCTATTCAGGCTCTTTATCTAGCATTTTCCTGGTTCTGTACCTTTATCCCAACTGTTATTTCCTCTTTCTCGTTTTGGGAACCACCAAGAGCTCCAAGGACAGCCTGATGTTGACAGCACAGTCTCTGAGGTCCCTTCCTGTTAAAGGGCCCTAGACAGATGGTGTTGGATAGACCTGAAGCTTCTGAGATGTAGCAGCTCACAGCAACATTCACCTGTTCCATCTGAGGATTTCAGTTCTGAAGTGATCTAGGCACATTTGGTAAAGATGCTTTTGTGGGAGTTATTTCCCTTTTTTTTTCTTTTAAGAAAGAAAGCATTATGCAAAAAAGGTTACTTTTAAGGGCATTTTTAAATAAAGCCATTCTTTGGCTTTTTTGGACAACTATTTGTGGATACTTTGTTTACATTGTGAGTATTAAAACGTGCATCATCTTGATGGCTACTCAGTCTCCTCCTTCTCCAGGCTCCCAGCCCTGGCTGTCCCGTGAGTCCTCACAGACAGCAAGGCCATCATGGTCACCCTCCATGGGTCGGTGGGGAAACCTGGAGCTGACTTCTGTGTCCTGCACTCCCATCCAACACTCTGTATGGAAATAGTTGTCATTTCCTCAGTGATGGTGTGTCTTATAGTGATGGTTGTAATGGTGAATGGCTAGTGTCATTTTTGTTTCATTTTGTTTTGCTTTTTGATGGTAGATGAGGTGAACTTTTAGCTCTTTCAGCACCAATCCAACTCAAAAGCATCTTGGACTTTGTTTTCCCTTCCAAACTAAAAGATCAGGCATGTATTAGGCATAAATGTATGTGCTGCCTCAACTCACCCGACACCTATATTAGGAAAAAGCCTGCCACCAAAGCAGAAAGCTGCACACTCCTAACCCTTCTCCCAGACTTGGGGACTTTTGATGCCATGGAGAGTGACTGCAAGGTGCTTATGTACTTTTCCAGCCTGGAAGTAGAGGGTGACTGGGCCTGGCTCCTCCTATGAAAAGAGAACCAGCCTCATTTTCTCAGTGCCCCAGAGATCTAGGACAGGATTTCTAAACTGGAATCATCCCTCATTGGCTTGAAGATGCCCCAAGGTGGGGTATATGACTAGTGCTGCCATCTTTGTCCTCACAGCAACACTGGTGGCAGCATCCTGTATACACATGCAGAGCTAATACCCAGGGCTTAACTTGAGCTGATGACCCAACCCAAAAACTGGGTGACCGGCCCTGAAATATTTCCCAACCAATAAGCCCACAGAGAATTGTTTGGTTTTTGTGTTTTATTGGATTTTGGTTTGCTTGGCATAGCTTAAGGTGCCTTTTCTTTTTTTCTTTCTACTTTATTTTGTAAGACTTGTTCTAAATGTGGAAAACAAGTCCAAAAGACTCCCACTGACTGTTACCTTTGCCCCAGGCCACCCCAAACTTTTATGCTCACATTTTATTAAATAAAGCAGGTGCTCCCTGGAGTCTCTGGGACCTTTCTGAGGCATTTGAAGCAGAATATAAAAAGTGGTCTCATCTCCTTCCTTAATCTTCCTGGTGGTTGGGATGTTCCACTTGTATCATAGATTTTTTTATTACTGATGTGCTCCGCTGTTTTTAAATGTGAACTTGTGCGCAAATGTGCAGACTCAATGTTCTTGTTACAGATTGAATAAATTTTTATTTTGAAGATGAAACACATGTACTTGATCAATTGCAACAAAGGAGGGGGATCCTGGAGACGTGGAGGGATTGGAGAACACGGATAATAAACATGGAGCAATTCTCATTGGTTGGTCTCCATCAAGCACACCCTTAAGAGAGAGCTGAGCTCTGGAAAAAAGTATAACTTTCTACTTCCCACAAAATAAAGACTGGATGGGAAATAGGATCACTAAAGATTATTTTAGACAGTGTGGCTCCGATCAAGTGACCAGGCTGGGAACTTGCCTGGTCAAAGAGGCTCTTGCCAAAGCCACCACCTGAATGTTAGGAGAATGAATAAGCAAAAGGACCAAAATTCCTCTGCCATCTGTGGTACACAGTGACTGCTCTGGGACAGCTGCTGTGGCCTGCCATAGCAGGGAGTGGATTTCTTGAGTAAGTGACCTCTCTGGACATTAGTGAGGTAGAGCTCACAAGCTTTCAGCACAAGCCACCTCAGCTCACTGAAAAGTTTCCAGAAATGGGGCATGACTTTCCAAAGAAGTAAAAGCTTTAACCTTTTCCCACCATTAGAAGAGAAGCGTGTGATGTCAACAGTGGAGAGAGATGGGGCCAAAGGGCAGTTCTCTAAAACAGGCTGGGGTGGAGGAAGAGGTTCCCCACTTCTCCCACAGCTCCACAGACCCATCACGAGATATTTAGTGGTGCCATTCGTCACATACAAGGCAGCACAACTATCTAGGGAAAGCTCAGTTTCTAGTTTCCAAATTGCTAAGAAAACAATTTGCTGAAGGTTCCAGAGAAAACACTACCTTGAACTAAAATTGTCAGCCTGCTTCATTCTGAGTAGTCCATATCAAGTGGGGGGGCACCCCACTGGTCTCTAGCTGGAGTGTCAGAGTGCATGATGGTGAAGGCAAGGTCATTTCACAAAATATTCTAGGGGTGCCTGGAGTCCCTGACCAATCTAGATGAGCTCAGTCTTGGCTTTCTAGCCAAAGCAAATGGACCACCAGGTCACCTCTTCCAGAAAATGGCTAAATGAAATCCATGCCTGTCTTCTATGGATTGCACTTCAGAGCCCAACTAACAGTTCAAATGGGTAACAACAAGGGAAAGCACCAAGCCCAAGTGGCTTCTCCTGATTTGTTCTTTGTCTCTTGGCTCCGCCCACCCACAGCTCTGCCAGGCATTGGAAGCCCGAAGAAGGCTAGAGGGCAGGGCTGAGCCATGCCAGGTCCAAGCACTACCTGTGAATCCCTGCTGCTGTACCTGAAGAGCACCTTCCCCTTCCCAGATGATGGAACTGAAAGCATGATGGAGTGAAGGATTCCTGCTACCTAGTCCCAGACCCTTCCCTCTAGAATGGAGTGCCTAGCTCTCTTTAAAGAGGAGGAAAGGAAAGGGAGAAGAAAAGATGCCGTTTCAGGGTAGGAGGCAGCATGTCAAATCCCTTCTCTGCCAACAAGTGGTGCACAGTTGGAAAGAATCTGACCCAGCCCTCTTCATTTTATAGCCTAGAGAGCTGCAAAAATAGAGTGATAGAGCCAGGGTTGGAACTCTAGTTTGCTAATTAGTCCAGGCATCCTTTCCCCTGTGCCACAAAGCATAACTCTCAGTACCCTCACTTATGAGATAAAGTGGCACTGTCCTTCAAGGAGTGCATGGTGCTGAAAAGCATGGCCCTAGACGCCAAACCACTTGGGTAAGAATCTCATCTTCACCAGCTACCAGTTGAGTGATGAGTAAGCTACTTAACTTCTTTGTGCCTCAGTTTCCTCATTTGTAAAACAGTAGTTTTAGGGCACATAATAAGTGTGGCTATTGTTACTACAGAGCAATGAATCACTCAGGTCTTTTCTTCCTGATCACGTACCTGGAATCTTTAGGTAAAAGGTAGACTCCTCATATACCCTTATGGCCCCTCATGCCATGAATTATTTCTGGAGCACCTGTAACAGTTTCTGATTCTGTTCCCCTACAAGCCACTGAATACTTGGAATCTTCCTGAGAAACAAAAGAGCCTTGTGGTGGCCTTCGAGGTTCCCACCACTTTCCCTCCTCTTTACCCCCAATGCAGATCTCTACCCTCCAGAAGGCTGTGTTCCATTGATGCCCAGGTGTGCCCTGTATAGTAGGAAGTAATAACTGGCCCCATGCTGCCCTCCAGGGCCTTATGATCCAAAGGAAGAAATCCAGGCCGTGGGTGGGTGCTGAGTAGACAGCACTTGTACGGACTAGCTGTTCTTCACTGGCTGTATTATGATCAGGTTTCTTTTTATCTCCTCCTCAACCTTGGCCAATACGCAGATCCTCGGGTCCTGAGGGAGTGGGGATGGGGCGGGGCTTCACTGGAGCACAATCAGGCACCCATTCAAACAAGGGCCGGAAGACTTTAGGAGTTAGGCTGGGCGTCTAAAATTTGGTTAGTCAAAGACCTGTACCAGCCGCCTCCCCTTGAACCTGGTGTTCCCAGGAGGTCAAGGTGGGTTCACTTTTCTCCCTGGCCCCCTACCGGTCTTTAGGCTGCTTTCTGACCCGCTCAATGGAATCCCCTCTAGCGGGGTGAAATGACTATCACAGTGCCAGCGTTTTAGTTTCTCCAGTGGTCGCTACCGCTATTAACAACAACAGTCACATTTACAGCCTCTTGTCGAGTACCCTCGCAGCTGCCCTGGGCCATCCTACGCCCTCATCCAGGGGCTGAGACTACTCCCCAAGAGCACCTTCCGGGACCTCTCCCCAGGGGGGTCTGGACGTGCAGTCCCGCAGTCCCAGCCAGCCGGGAAGGGCTAAATTGGGAGCGCGATTGCAGCAGGAATGTGGCGCGGAGGCACCTGATCTTGAGCGGCTGTCGGCTCCCTCTCTCAGCGCCCAGCTCTGGGTTTGGGAATCTGGCCCTTCCCAGCCCACTCGGGAGGCGCGGAGGGCAGGAAAGGAGGGCGCACTCACACGCACAATTACTTTTGTCGCTTTTCCGAGGCCGGCGGGCTGGCCGTACGGAGTCCGCAGCGCTCGACTTTCCCGCCGCTGGAGGGGGTGGGGCAGCGCTGGTCCCGCCCCCTGCCCTAGGCCCCGCCTCCGCAGGTTGATGGCAGCGGCAGCTGGGACTGCAGCGGCGCCCGGCCCTGGAGAGCCGCAAGCAGCGGCCAGAGCGCTCAGCCGATCACCCGGGCCCCAGACGCCGCGGACACCCGGAGAGGCAGTTCCGGCGCCCTGACGCCTCCCTCGGCCCCAGGCGCACCCCCAGCCCCCTCCGCAGAGGAGTCGCAGCGTGAGCGCCCCTCGGCCCGCTCAGGACCAGGTACCACCCCACCCCACCCGCCACCCCCGCAGCCAGTGGAGCGGGCGGGTATCTGCAGGGGGCAGAGGTCTGCGCCCCCTCCCCCGCGCCGCCAAATTCGGTCCCGGCGGGGCTGACTTGGTGTCTATATTTGGCCGGACAGTGGCCCGCGCGCCCGCAGGGCGCAGACACCTCGTCTCACAAGAACGCAATGCCGGGGCAGGAGGCCGGAGGAGGGTGAGGGGAGGCCGGGCCTCAGGCCTGGGACCGCAGAAGCGGCGTGAAGGGCACAGGGATGCCCGGGGCTGGAGAGGGGCAGGAGTCAGTGGCTGGGGCTTTGGAAGAGCTCGATGTGTCCCCTGGGGAAGAGCGCAGCGCAGGCCCTGGTTGGAGAAAAGGCACCTCACCCTCTCCACTCCCTCAAATCAGGCCCTGGCCCCTGGGTCAAGAACCCCACCCCAGTAGAGTTTAGTATGAGAGAGGACCCAGAGGAGAAGCGGTACCAAAGTACGGCAGGCAAAAGCCGGAAGACCCTGGTCAGGGCCTCTTGAAGCAGCCATTGCAGAGAGGAGTGGAAGGAGGCAAGATCCACCTTACATTGTGTCCCTCCATCAACATGGGAGGAAATTGATGAAAACAGTAGCAGGAAGGACTCAGGTTAGCTGACAGTAGGAACTTCTTGGCAAGTTTTTAGAAAAAGGCAAAACCCCATCTGCCAGAGATGCAGAGTTGAGGATCTTGGGGGTCTGCAGTCCTAGCGCCACAGCTGGCCTTGAGCCAAGATCTGAGGGCCAAGGCCTCTGATTCTGAACGCGGTGCCTCTGGGTGATAAACCACTTCCATGAAGAGATGCTCATCCAAGGCTGGCAGTGGGAGAGCAGCCTGGCGTTGAGGCTCCTCCCAAAACCACTTTAACTTCCAGGAAGCTTTCAGGCCCAGTCAGACTCCCCTGCCGCCCAAGGCTTGGTCTCTAAGGAGAAGTCAGGCTCCAAATCCTAGCCCCTCCGCATTAAGCAGCACTTTATAGGAGGCAAAGAACTTTCCCATACTTTACTCATCTTGAAGAAAGCGCCCTGCTTCTAGGACCAGATTCTATATTAATTTATAGCTGACTCCATGCCAGATAACCCTTCTCACTTGCCCCCCCCCCACTCTTTCTCCCTCCCACAGCTCACAGGACTAAGGACCAAAGGCATTTCTGGGCACTGAGATCCTCCATCTCTGCCCCCAGCCATGAGCCGGCGCGTGGTTCGGCAGAGCAAGTTCCGCCATGTGTTTGGGCAGGCAGCAAAGGCTGACCAGGCCTACGAGGACATCCGAGTGTCCAAGGTCACATGGGACAGCTCCTTCTGTGCCGTCAACCCCAAATTCCTGGCCATTATTGTGGAGGCTGGAGGCGGAGGTGCCTTCATCGTCCTGCCTCTGGCCAAGGTGAGGGATGAGGGGAAATAAGCAGGTGGGAGGACTCTGCCTGTGGCCCCTGGGGACTCCTGACATCAGCTTGTGTTCTCACCTAGTTCTGTTCCTCAGTCAGGAGGGCAGTTTCTGTGGATTGGCTGCTCCCTGTCCCCAAGCCCTCAGGGACCGATTGGTAGGCTCCCTCACCCCTCCCAGAGCAGCACCATCACAGTGGCCCGCACCAACTCACAGCCCATCCTCTTCTCCACACAGCACCCTATTCCCAGTAGGACCAGGAGGGAGTGAAGGAGATAGCTGGGAAGCAGTGGAGCCAGGACCTGGCCACATTCTGTGCCTATCTCTCCTAATGCCTCACCCTCTCATGTTTTGGGTGTGGGGATCTTTCTCCTGATCCCAGGGCGATCATTTGATTAAATCACACCCCAGAGCAGCACACTGAGGACAGGGTCAAGCTCTATCCAAAGAGGCGCTGGCCACCTCCCTACTCTGGTTCTTGCAGTGATGTAGAATGAAAGCAAAGGGCAAGGGGACGTGACACACAAGGCCAGAGCCCTCCCTACCCGAGGGATGAGTGCCAGGCAATGAGTGCCACCTTTGCTAGTAGCCTTAAGCCACTCAGCCATCTCCACCCCTCGGATGGCCAGCCCAAGGCATGACCTTGACCTGGATTCTGCCCTTACACCTTGTTAGGGGAGGCCCCACAGGTGGCAGGGTCAGGAAGAGGCCTGACAATAGCCAGTGACTCACTCCAGGACAATGCAGACACCATCCAAGGACACCATCCCCAGGGCTCAAATTTCAGCTGGAGCTGCCTCCGCCCCCAGTAAAAGTGCCATTCCAGTGCCAGACGGCCACCCCTCACCCCTACTGCCTGGTCTGGGCTGATGCCAGCCCCAGCGAAGGCCTCAGAGCCCCCACAAACAGCCCATACAGACCAAAAATAGATGAGCCCCAGCACAGGTTGGGGGATAGCAGGCACCAGGAGAGCCTGCTGCTGTGGTTCCCAGGTAAAGCCAGTGACAAGGGAAGATCTGCCAAGGGTGGCTAGGAAAGGGCTGTTGGGCACTGCACTGCGTATTACCTCTCCTGGACGTCTTTCACCAGGGGCTTCCCATAGTCATTCCAACTGGGGAAACAGGCCTAAGAACAGCCTCCTCCAACTAGGTGTTTTCAGAAGAGCACTGGACTGAAAGTTCAAGTCTTGGCTCTACCTATATCTTGCTGTGTGTCCTTGGTTAAGTCATCTTACCTCTCTGTGTCTGAGTCCCCAATATTAAATGACTTCAACTCTGTCTGCCTTCAGTGAAGTACAGGAAGTAGGCTGGATGGGGTTCGAGGTTCAGAGAGGGGTCTGCAAAGAGAAAATAGATGATAGAGAATTGAGATGTAAACAGGTCCACTGCCCAGCCCCAAAAAACACACAGGAGAGTGGCCCCACATCTCCTCTCTGACCCCCCAGACAGGGCGAGTGGATAAGAACTACCCACTGGTCACTGGGCACACTGCCCCCGTGCTGGACATCGACTGGTGCCCGCACAATGACAACGTCATCGCCAGTGCCTCAGACGACACCACCATCATGGTAGGAGCCAGGCGGATGCTGCTGGGCAGTTGGGCAGGGGAAGTGGGGAGGGCTGCCTCACCTGTGCTAGGGAAGGTGGTAAGGGAGCTGCTGGGTCCCAGGGCTCTGCCCTGCCCAGCTCCCAGGCTATTTTTAGCTACATGCTCACCCCCTCCCAGGATGCACTGCTTAGGACTAATTATAGCCAGGGACAATGTGGGGCCTGAAGAGCAGGGGGCAGTGCTCCGAAGTCTCCCTGCTGGAGTGGATAGGGAGGTATCTGGAGAGCTGGCAGTGCCCCCTCCTGACTCCCAGCTGCTTCTGCCCCAGGCAGGCACCATTACCTCTTGCCCTGCATTTGACCCTTACCACTCAAGAGAGCCAGTAGGGCTGGGGGGCCTGGGGGGAGTAGAGGGAAGGGACAAAGCTGGCTCCTCATCCCACCTACCTTTTCCTCCTACCCAGGTGTGGCAGATTCCAGACTATACCCCTATGCGCAACATCACAGAACCCATCATCACCCTTGAAGGCCACTCCAAGCGTGTCGGGATCCTCTCCTGGCACCCCACTGCCCGGAATGTCCTGCTCAGTGCAGGTCTGGGGGCCTAGGGAGGGGTCCCTACTGTAGATGGGGAGGTGGGGGGGTTGGAAAGGCAGGGCCCAGGTGACGGTGCCTGGCTACTCTGGGCAGGTGGTGACAATGTGATCATTATCTGGAACGTGGGCACTGGGGAGGTGCTCCTGAGTCTAGACGACATGCACCCCGACGTCATCCACAGCGTGTGCTGGAACAGCAACGGGAGCCTGCTAGCCACCACCTGCAAGGACAAGACCCTGCGCATTATCAACCCCCGCAAGGGCCAGGTGGTGGCGGTGAGTGCCTGGCCTTGCCGCTCCCCAGCCTTTACCCCCGGGACCAGCTGTCACGCCCCTGGTTCCCGCTCTCACCTCCCCCACCCCAACCGCAGAGACCATTCCTCACCCTCGTGTCTGGAACCACAGCTCCCGGCCCTAAGTAAGCCCCTAGCCTGCAATTCTCTGCCCCACTCCTCTTCCCTCCCCTCCCCTGCATCTCAGAAACTCTGAGGAGGGCTCCTTGATTTGTGATTGAGGAGGGGAGAAGCTGCAAATTCTATTCTCCCCACGAACCTGCATGAAACCTGAGCTCCCGGACCCCTTCTCTCAGCCGGCACCCAGCGCCATCTCCCAGGGTCTGGGGCCTGACGCTGGCTCACGGGCTGTCCCCTTTCCGCCCTAGTTGACCCGCTGTGGGGCACAGGGGGCAACCGCTGGGTGCAGTGGGAGGGCGGCGGCGTCTGCCTCACCAGCCTCAGTCTAACGCAGGGTGCGGGGTGCGCGGGGCACGTGCATGTCTGCGCCGAGTGCGCGCGTCGAGTGGGGCCGGGGCGGGGGCTCTAACCCACTAACCCCGCGAGCAGGAGCGAGCCCGGCCTCACGAGGGCGCCCGCCCGCTGCGGGCCGTCTTCACCGCAGACGGGAAGTTACTCAGCACCGGCTTCAGCAGGATGAGTGAGCGGCAACTCGCGCTCTGGGACCCGGTAGGCCAGGCCGCGCCGGGCGCGCCGGGCGCGCGCGCTCGCTCCTTCGCTGGGTCAGCCAGGAGCGCCCTCCCAGGCCGTGGCCCGTGCCCAAGAGGGCTGAAGCGGAGCGGGGTGCTCCCGTCTGGGAAAAGCCTCGCTGCGACCCCGGGGAGCCAGCAGACGTCCCCTGCTCTAGCCATCAGCCTCTGAGGGCACTTAAGGGCTCGGGATCTGCTGAGAGACGCGCGCCTCCCGCTCTCTCCGGGCCCCGACGCTCTCCAGGCCTGGGGCCGCCAGGGCCCCCCAGGAAGCTGAGTACTTAGGCCCCCTTTTGTCTCCCTTCCCATCCCTGCCCCTCGCACCCAAGTCAGCAAGCTGGTTGCTTCGCCCTCCAGGCTCCTCAGGGCAGGCAGCTGGATGACGCCTCTCCCTGTCTCCCCCCCACTCTCAGGAGAGGTTTGCAGCCCACGAGGGAATGAGGCCCATGCGGGCGGTCTTCACGCGTCAGGGTCATATCTTCACCACAGGCTTCACCCGCATGAGCCAGCGAGAGCTGGGCCTGTGGGACCCGGTAACGCAGCTGGAAGCTTGGGGTGTGTGCCCCGGGGACTGGCATCACGGGAGAGGGGCCAGGCGCCCCCGACCCGCAGGGCATGCCCACCTGGACAGGGCTGGAGGCTGCTGCCCCCTTTGCAGCGCCTGCCATCCCCACACCCACCCCTCTGCCCAGTTTTGCTGCGTCGCCCGAAGGAGCCCACGCTGGCGCTCCCACCTGGTGATGCCGAGTCCCTGGGGGTGGTTTGCGGTGACTGCATGCGGCGGAGCAGGGGGTATATGTGCGGGGGACTGGGAGTGATGTGTCCAGGGGCGTGGCCTGCAGCTCAGTTCACCAGAGCTGCCTTGGGAACGCATGGGGTTTGAGGCGGGCAGGAAGTGTAAAGGAACTTCAGGGGATTCAGAAGTGGCACGGAGAGCGGGCCAGGACGGGTCACGCCTCCTGTGCTCCGGCAGAACAACTTCGAGGAGCCAGTGGCACTGCAGGAGATGGACACAAGCAACGGGGTCCTACTGCCCTTCTACGATGCCGACTCCAGCATCGTCTACCTATGCGGCAAGGTGCCCGCGGCCTGGAGGGGAGAACAGGGGGCTGGACGGCGATGTGGAGGGCCCCTCCCAGGGCGTCTCTGAACCAACTGGTTTTGCAGGGCGACAGCAGCATTCGGTACTTTGAGATTACCGACGAACCACCTTTCGTGCACTACTTGAACACGTTCAGCAGCAAGGAGCCGCAGAGGGGCATGGGTTTCATGCCCAAGCGGGGGCTGGATGTCAGCAAGTGCGAGATCGCCCGGTCAGCAGCCTTCGCTCTTCCCGCTTGCCTGCCTCTGTCCCCACTTCCCATCCGGGAAGACAGGGGGGCTTCCCCAATGACGTAATCTTTGGAAAAGAGGGGTTTGGGGTTGGGGGGGTCAAATAGGCTTGTTTCCAGGCCAGCCCCAGCGCTAACGAGCTTGACATTCTCTGAACTTCAGCTTCCTCATCTGTAAAATGATGATAAACACCCCATCAGAGGTGTTTTACCAGCTGGACCAATAATATGTTTAAAGTGCAATGCATGGTAGGCTCAGCAAGGCACGGCCTCTAACCCCTTGGTCCCAGGCAGAAGTTAAGGGTGTGGGAGCCTGCGGGTGTGCTGAACCCCGCTCCCTTATAGGTTCTACAAGTTGCACGAAAGAAAGTGTGAACCCATCATCATGACTGTGCCCCGAAAGGTGAGGGACCAGAAGAGAGGTTGGGCAGGGCTGCGAGGCGGAAGGGAGCGGAGCAGGCCCGGCACCCTGCTAACACTCGTCCTCCTGTCCCCCCATCCCGCAGTCAGACCTGTTCCAGGACGACCTATACCCAGATACGCCGGGCCCCGAGCCAGCCCTAGAAGCGGACGAATGGCTATCGGGCCAGGACGCCGAACCCGTGCTCATCTCGTTGAGGGACGGTTACGTGCCCCCCAAGCACCGCGAGCTCCGGGTCACCAAGCGCAACATCCTGGATGTGCGCCCGCCCTCAGGTCCCCGCCGCAGCCAGTCGGCCAGTGACGCCCCTTTGTCGGTAAGATCCGACCCGTCTCCTCCCAGCCGAGTCTACACATCCCCCTACAGCCCCCTGCCTGACACCGCCTCTCCTGTCCTCCGCGCCCCAGCAGCAGCACACCCTGGAGACGCTGCTGGAGGAGATCAAGGCCCTTCGCGAGCAGGTGCAGGCCCAGGAGCGGCGCATCACGGCTCTGGAGAACATGCTTTGCGAGCTGGTGGACGGCACGGACTAGCGCGGCGCGCCGGGGGAAGCTCGAGCCTGGGGGGCGAAGCCAGGCTCTCCCGGGCGCACGGTCGCGGCCCCGCCCCGGCTTTTGGTCCGGACCCCGCCTCCCTGGGCTGGGGCGGGGGCGGGACTGGGAAGGGAACTCTGCCCCTCGCGGGGGCCCTGGACAGAGGGAGCGTTGTGGAGACTCGCGTGCGTCTGGCGCCCGCCGGGCTGCGTTCCTCATCCGGGACTCAGCAGGAGCTGGCCGTGGGAGGCCCGGGCTGACGGGGTCTCAGCATTGGTGCTGCACGGCGAGGCAGGGTCCCCTCTGTCATCCGCCCAGGGCAGGGGAAGTGCTTAGTATTAGCGCGATGCTTGGGGATATTGGGGAGCTTGGGCTTGACCTCAAAGGGGTGGCGATTTGACGGGTCTCCCCAGACTGGCTGGGGAAAATTACAACGCTTCTCCCTCTAATTAGCTCACTTGACTCCACCACCCCGAGTGGTAAACCGGACGTGCGTCACCCCAGTTCTACAGACATACACAACCGGTTGGCAGTAGAACCGGACCCACTGGCTAAACCCAGCAGTCCATGGCAGATGGCTCTCTTCCTTTTTTCCACCCGCAGGGGAGAGGGGCGAGGGCGGCTTCCTTGCGGCACCCCTGCCGGAGAACTAACGAGAGAACTGGCATGAGGAAGCAGGTTCACACACCTCCTCTACACACACACACACACACCCCGCCCCCAGCCCTCTGCTGTGGCCTTGACTCTAGGAGGAAAACAAGATGTACTGAATGAAATATTTTACTAAGTGCTCAGTCTATGCCTCCTGCATGGGGTGGGGGGGGGGGGGGGGGGGGGATGCGAATGCTACCCCGGGGTCAAGATCCACCGGGCATCCTCTTACCTCAGAGCCCTCCCCACACTGAGGTTCAGAAGGAACTCCCAACCCGCAGGTGGGCGTTCTTCCTCAGTAAAGCCAGGAAGGAAAAGCCTCCGGTTTGAAGCCTCTTTTATTTGTGCCTCAGAATCAGTCTGGTGCCCCTGGCATCAGGGAAGGGGGTGAGAGGAACCGTTTTTCTTTGTTCTTTTATTTCATCCTCTTTGTGTCCCTTCCGAGCCTCACTGGCTTAGCCAGGAAGGCCAGTCCGAGAGAACCCGGACAAGGGTGTGCGGTGGGCCCCTGCCCCTGGCGGGGTCTGTGCTTCTCTGGGTGGGTGGGGTGGGGCAGGGGAGAGCCGGGGGTTAGCACCATTGGATGAAGGGTTTTAGGGTCAGCCCCTGGGTGGGGGCGAGTGGGACGGACAACCACAGAGGGCTAGCAGCGGCTGGTGGGAAGGGATGGGTGGTGATTCCAGGGCCCTAGGCGACCCCTCTGTGTCCAGTCTAGTGTAGGGTCTGGTGCTTGCCCCCAGCCCAGTATTACCCCCATCCGCCAAGACCCTGTGAGGGAGCCAGGCCTTGCCCAGACCCGGGGGGGCCACCTTGGGCACCCTCCCTGATCACAAAAACATGCCTTGGGGATAAGGACTGCAATCTCTGCCCGCCCAAAGAGAAGCTGGGACCACCCTGAGACCCGGGAGAGGTGTGGGGGCTGGGGGACCCGGACACCCCGCTAAGTGCACTTGACGCTGAAATGCCGGGGTGGGGGAGGGGCTGGGCCCTTGACGTGCTGGTTTGTATCTGGGACAAGCTGCAACACAGCACGTGGGGAGCTCAGCTGCCCCCCAGGGGTGAAGAGCGGAGATGCAAAGGCTTCACGGGCAGTGTCCTGGAGTAGGGTCAGTGAGCAGAAAGGAGGACCGGCCAGAAGGAGCAAGGGATGGGGACACTGCTCCTCTGAGAACCCGTCTCTCCCCTCAGGACCGCCTGGCTCCGTCCTTGGACAGGTCTGAGCCCAGGGAAGAGGGGTGGGGGTCAGGATACAGCAAAGCAGGGGGACCAGGCCGTGCCAGCTGCCTCCAGGGACCTGGCCCGGAAAGGTACCCCGCGGCCGTGCCGAACCCCTCCCCCTCTGGTGGCTGGTACACTGCTAAGTCCCCAAGGCGGCCGCTCCAGTCTCCAGCCGCAGCTCGGCGGGCGCGCGGCCCGGACCGGATCTCGCTCCCGGGCGGGTCACGCGTGGCGTGGCCGAGGGGCCCGGCAGTGGGCGCTACTGCTCCGTCAGCGAGAGCCGCAGGATGCGCTCCAGCTCCTCCTCCTCCTGGCGCGCGCGCCGCCGCCGCTCCTCCTGCTCCTGCGCTGACAGCTCCATGGCCAGCCGCAGCTGCTCGTCGTAGCTCCGGAACACGTGGCCGCCTGGGCCTGGGCCCCGGCTGGGCCGAGGGCTTGGGACCGACGCCAGGGCGGCCGGGGGCGCGGGCTGGCGCTGTGGCGTGGGCGGAGCGCTCCTGGGGGCAGATAAGATACGTCGAGGGCTCCGGGTCGCACCTGCCCATAAGCGGGGCCGGGAGACAGACTGGAGGCCCCAGGACGGAGCAGGCCGCGTCACCTCCCTGATTCCTACCCTGCTGTGGCAGATCCCAGCCCCTCCAAAACTCATCCCCCCAGTGGACGGCGGCCCACAGTATGTGGGCATCTAGAACCCTGGCCCTGACATCCTTCTTGGTAAGGGTCTAACGGCCAAGAAGCCTGGATCCTGCTCCCTGGCTGCTTTTGGAGTACTGCTCACCCACCCCAGAATCAGGAAAGGGTGGTGGTAGAAGCCCTCTTGGTACCAGTAGGGTCCCTGGCGAGGGCACCACGGTTTCTCCGGGCCAAGAGGGGTCGCTCAGCCGGCACTGTCCTCACCTACTGTGACAGGGTACTAGGGTACTCTGTGCATATGTACTGGGGTCGGGGGAGGGAGACAGGTGTCTCCAAACCCTCTCAGGACTGGCGGGCACTGACCTGTCCTGTCGGCGCCCCTCGTAGGACATGGGGTGAGTGCCCGGCTTGCTGTTGGTCAGCGCCTCCCAGATGGTGACCTGGAGGGAGGGGGCGTGGCCCAGTTAGCTCTGGCGGTGCCGCAAGCTGGAGGCCGGCGCGGCCGCGGGGACGCACCTGGTCGTACTCACTGCCCGCCTCCAGCAGGCTCTGCTGGATGGCGAACTGCAGCAGGTCGTCATCGTCATCGCGGGTCGCCGCCTCCCGCTGACCGCCCCGCACGCTGTAGCCGCGAGGCGCCTCGAACAACGCGGGAGAGATCTCGCAGCCGCGGCACGAGGCTGAGAGCGCCGGGCTGGGGGTCAGGTGGGGGCCGGGCCCACCCCTCGGCCTACTCCCTGGGAAGGGGGCCGCGGAGCGAGCGCTCTGGTGGGGAGCGGAGGGGAGGGGTGGGAAGGGGGGGCTCAGAGCGGGGCAGGGTCTCACTCGTGGAACTGGAGCTGCTGACACTGGAGGAGTCGCTGCCTGGGGAAGGGGTCTCGCTGCTGGGGCTGCCTCGCACCGACGGCACCGGCTCGTCACAGCCATTGAGGTTCCCGAAGGTGATGCGGGCGTTGAGGATGTGGAAGATCGGGATTTCTGAGGATGAGGAAACCATCAGGCGCCACCATCCACCCCCTCACACCTTAGGCCCCCCTCAACGGCGGCTGAAGGGAAACCGCGGTGCGGGCTCACCGATCTTGACAGGGAAGCCCGGGGGCAGGCGCAGGGTAATGAAATCCCGGAGCTTGGCGAAAAGCGCATTGCTGACGGCCATGAGGTCAATGATGGGGGCCACCTGCTCACACAGGGACAGGGGATGCTCCTCACACAGCCACAGCTTGGCCTTGAACCTGCCCCCCCCAGATCCCAAGGGGTAAGGGACATTGTAGAAGCCATGGCCTCCCAGCACCTTCTGGAGCCCCTGCCCTGCCCTGCCCACCCCTCCCCAGCACCAGCAGGGGACCTCACTTCTGTGTCTTGGTGGTCAGTTCCATGGGGCGGCCCATGTCACGGTTGCCAAGCTCAAAGTTGGGGTTGAAGTACTCTTCCGCAGTGATGGCAGTGGGGTTGGCTTGGCTCAGAGTCTGAGTGATCAGGGTCTGTACCACATGGGGAGGGGCCCATGAGCCCTTCTCAGTTCCCGATGCCACTCCGTTTGGATTTATGGGCCCCGGAACTGTCCCCCCTGCCACTGTGGAGCTGACATGGCCTTGGGCATTGTGGAAAGGAGGTCCACACAGACCACGCTAAGCAAGACACCTCCCAGGCCTCCTCCTGAGCCACATCCACACCCTTCCACATAGGGGCACCCCTGGCACACACTCACCCCGTTTTGGGGGCCCCCATGCTGCTCAGCAATTCCCAGGAAGGACTGCAGAGGTGTCTTACAGCCTACAAGAAATGTGGCATCTCAGAGGATACTGCAGCCCTCAGAAGTGACAGCACCTAAGACCTAGGGAGGAGGCTGGTTCCTGGAGGGAAGCGGGGATTGCTCACCCACACCACACACCCAGCACCCTTCATCTGAAGGTGATTCAGGACTCCAAGGGGCCCGGGCCAGGGCCACTATAAGCACAGCTGGAATAAAAAGTAGGCCTGGAGCTCAGGAGAAACCTCCAAAAGTGTCACTCTCCAGGTTGATGACATTGGACAAAAAATACCTGCCTTTGGTGAGCAGTTTTGGGGTACGCATGTGTATGTGTGGGTTTTCCTTCAGGCACGTCCATAATAATGACTTCATTTTGTTCCCTCATGAGGTAGGAATTATGTCTTCCCACTTTAGACAGACTAACTGATACCCAGAGTTGGGTGTGGTATCAACAGGCACAGAGACTCAGTGGCAGGGCTCCCTGACTTTCTGCCTTGGGTATGTCCCACTAGACTAGAATGGCCAATAAATAGCATACATGACATTTCTCTCCCTTCTCAAATCCAATGCAGACATTAGTAATCAATTGTAGCATTCTTTCCCATTGAGCCCAAATGTTGCCTTAGAATCTTCTTAGCAACATTCTAGGTAGCCACTACCAATCACTAGGACTTGGCACTTGAATTGAAACCTATTTGCCTAAATAAACTATCCTGGCTTTTACGAGGATGTCAGAGGGAATACCGATGGAGGCGCTCAAGTGGGAGCTGGTCCCTCACATCTCCCCCCATCCGCCTAGGCCTCATTACCTTTGACCTTGCCCTTGTGCTGTTCTGAAAGATGCTCTGTCCGTGTCCGGGTGATGAGCTCCACGTTGGATGCCCCATATACCTGGAGACAGATGAGGAAAGGGCTCAAAGACAGCTCTGGTACCCCTACACCCTGCCCCCAAAGGCACTATGAACACTTCCTGCAAGGAAGGTGGGAGAGCTGTTTGCTCCAATCTCCAGACCTTTGGGCAAGTAAATATATGAAGTCATTCATTCGTTCTCTTATTCATTCAACAAACATTTTGAGAGGAGCCTTTATGTGCCAGGCACGGAGGCAGGCCTCAGGGATAGAGTGGTGAACAAGCATGGCCAGACATGATCCCTGCCCTCTTGAGGCTCACAATCTAGTTGAAGAGATGAGAAAATGGACAGTTATAACACAATGTGATACATGCTCTGGTGGGGGAAACAGAGGGCTGGGGGAACAAAAAGCAGAAGCTTTCTCCAACCTATAGAAGCAGGGAAGGCCTCCAGGAGGAAACAACAAAACAGAACCCTGCAGCATTCGTTAGTCCCTTCATTCATCAGTGGCACCATGGGGCCCACAGGGGCAATGTGGGGGTCCCAGAGTGACCAACACAGTCTTCTTAGGGGTAAAGGCTTGGCTTTGGAGTCAGGCAGCCAGGATCTGAACCTCAGCTCTGTCACTTACAGGTGGGTGACCTTGTGCAGGTCATTGAACCACTCCAAGCCTCTGTTTCCTCAT